TCTTAGTGTGTATGTCCATATAGAATATGCTACTGCAAACTAGCAAGTTGCTCATTTGCAATACAGTGTGGCAAAGTATTGCAGACCAAGTCAGATAAAGATTGTTACAATGGATGGGGCATTGTGTGGGTGATGAGTATGGCAGGTTACCGAGGCGGGCATTGGGAGTGACACCCACATGTCAGAATCTTTGCGAAAGATCTAAAGCTGGATATTGATGAGGGCAGATCTTGGATGCCAGGTGTCCACTATGCCACAGGTACAGAATCGTGCAGAAAAAAATAAACAGTGGCAAAGTTTGGTTAACATCAACTTTCATTTGCCGCACTAACCTATTGATCTTTAACTTACGATGAGAATGATTATCTGCATTCTGCTGCATATTTTAATCGCGCAAACCTTCAACAAAGGCATTAGTCACAGTATTTCGGTTCTGACAACCTGGTTTGTCTAGTGACCTTGGGTTTCAGGCTGGCTATGCTCTGACTTGCTTAGCCTCTGAACAACATCGCATTTATCATTGTCCTGATAGGACACATGTTTTCAATGTGAATATTTGTGGTGTTGATATTATGGAGTACATTATCCATTCCCACGTCTTCTGCCTTTATTGCTTTTACAGGCATTTCAAAGTCTTCATATTAAATTGTGATCTTATGAGACTCCAGCCCAATTGTTGTGTGCTGTGGTTGGGGCACTTGATTTTCACTTGGAAAGTTGTAAGTTAAAATCCTAGTTAGTGGTTGACGCTTCCCATAATCTCTCCTGGGTGAACAAAACAAGTACAGTGAGGGGAAAAAGTATTTGATCCCCTGCTGATTTTGTATGTTTGCCCACTGACAAAGAAATGAGCAGTCTATAATTTTAATGGTAGGTTTATTTGAACAGTGAGAGACAGAATAACAACAAAAAAATCCAGAAAAACGCATGTCAAAAATGTTATAATTTAAGTTGCATTTTAATGAGGGAAATAAGTGTTTGACCCCTCTGCAAAACATGACTTAGTACTTGGTGGCAAAACCCTTGTTGGCAATCACAGAGGTCAGACGTTTCTTGTAGTTGGCCACCAGGTTTACATACATCTCAGGAGGGATTTTGTCCCACTCCTCTTTGCAGATCTTCTCCAAGTCATTAAGGTTTCGAGGCTGACGTTTGGCGACTCGAACCTTCAGCTCCCTCCACAGATTTTCTATGGGATTAAGGTCTGGAGACTGGCTAGGCCACTCCAGGACCTTAATGTGCTTCTTCTTGAGCCACTCCTTTGTTGCATTGGCCGTGTGTTTTGGGTCATTGTCATGCTGGAATACCCATCTACGACCCATTTTCAATGCCCTGGCTGAGGGAAGGAGGTTCTCACCCAAGATTTGACGGTACATAGCCCCGTCCATCGTCCCTTTGATGCGGTGAATTTGTCCTGTCCCCTTAGCAGAAAAACACCCCCAAAGCATAATGTTTCCACCTCCATGTTTGACGGTGGGGATGGTGTTCTTGGGGTCATATGCAGCATTCCTCCTCCAAACACGGCGAGTTGAGTTGATGCCAAAGAGCTCCATTTTGGTCTCATCTGACCACAACACTTTCACCCAGTTGTCCTCTGAATCATTCAGATGGTCATTGGCAAACTTCAGACGGGCATGTATATGTGCTTTCTTGAGCAGGGGGGACCTTGCGGGCGCTGCAAGATTTCAGTCCTTCACGGCGTAGTGTGTTACCAATTGTTTTCTTGGTGACTATGGTCCCAGCAGCCTTGAGATCATTGACAAGATCCTCCCGTGTAGTTCTGGGCTGATTCCTCACCGTTCTCATGATCATTGCAACTCCACGAGGTGAGATCTTGCATGGAGCCCCAGGCCGAGGGAGATTGACGGTTCTTTTGTGTTTCTTCCATTTGCGAATAATCGCACCAACTGTTGTCACCTTCTCACCACGCTGCTTGGCAATGGTCTTGTAGCCCATTCCAGCCTTGTGTAGGTCTATAATCTTGTCCCTGACATCCTTGGAGAGCTCTGTGGTCTTGGCCATGGTGGAGAGTTTGTAATCTGATTGATTGATTGCTTCTGTGGACAGGTGTCTTTTATACAGGTAACGAGCTGAGATTAGGAGCACACTCTTAAAGGGAGTGCTCCTAATCTCAGCTTGTTACGAGCTGAGATTAGGAGCACACTCTTAAAGGGAGTGCTCCTAATCTCAGCTTGTTACCTGTATAAAAGACACCTGGGAGACATAAATCTTTTTGATTGAGATGGGGTCAAATACTTATTTCCCTCATAATGCAAATCAATGTATAACATTTTTGACATGCGTTTTTCTGGATTTTGTTATTCTCTTTCTCACCGTTCAAATAAACCTACCATTAAAATTATAGACTGATCATTTCTTTGTCAGTGGGAAAACGTACAAAATCAGCAGGGGATCAAATACTTTTTTCCTCACTGTACCACCTTGTGGAAAGTAAATAAATGCTGGTCGTCCTCTCGAGGGACTGGTATGGGACTGAACTTTCGTACAGCGTCGTCAAAGGAGATGAGCACCCCACCGCACAACGCTCATGATTAGTTTGTGTCGCCCTCATTTGAGTTCGATCTCATAGACTGGTATTGTGGGTGTTGTTTCCTCCACCGCAATGCATGACATGTTGAGCATGGGGCTGGTTAAATTGGCCTGTGACTAATTGACAAGATGCTACACTTGAAGATGTGGATGCACTGCATTGAAACCGTGCGTATGTTTGTATTGGTCTGCTCTATCGGGTGGCATGTTTAAGCTTTGAGCCAACCAATTTGTATTACTACTGTGCGTTCAATTGAGATAAAAATGACTGGTTCTTTTGCAGTCACAATACGTGCATCGGACCCTTCAATTGTCCGTAATAGTAACATGGCTGAATGGAATCGGCCGTCCTGAGTTTTAGGCGGTAAGCCGCATGCTGAGCGTTAATGGGAAATAAAATACCCTACAAAGGCGTGAACTACCTGCTCGCACTAATGCCATCACCAACTCGTTACATTTGTTTGTAAACCCATTGTAATGTGTGTATCTTCATTATTCTTTGAGAGCCATCACCTGTTTTGGGCAGGTGATCAGCTCAGATCATTTTTGACTTAACCTTGATTATTGCATCTTCAGCCTGCAAATAAATGCATCCGTGAAACAGCAGCGAGAAAAATACATTGCAACATTACCAGTGAACATAAATATATAGAGGCAGAAAATGTTTGTCATCAAGAGCAAAGGATAGCTGTAGTGCAGATGGGCTCATTTTTATGCAGTGCTTGAATGTGCGTGTGTCTGTCAGCAACTGATTTTTTACCCCCCCCCCCCCCCCCCCCCCACATCAATAACATGTATTGCCATCATTCCTACAGCTGCTGCCAGCTGATATGTTTAGGTGCCGGAGGATGCTCAGTGCCGGGGATGAGTGGGAGTGAATGTCGGTGCTGATAGTCGGGGCGTGCGCACAGTGGGCATACGGTCGGATGTGGTTGTTTTGTGGCAGTGAGACAAGAGCCCACCATCATGCGTGCAGTTGTACTCTGAGCGGACGCTTTGGAGCATGGATGGATTAGGTGACTCGACGTGTGGTCTCTGGAGTGGTGAGTGGTCTGAATCTACGGCACACTGGGATAGGTTTGCGTTCGGAAGCTTGTTCTCTTGCTGCACATCAGCAATGTGAATTATGAGGTATAAACGGCAGGGCCACGCGGCTGATGGTGCCAGATCAATCTCGCACTCGGAAAGAGTGTATTTAAATTCCACCAACGAAACGTGGTTCAACCAGATGTCTAACTAACCCAATAATGGGCTCAGTAGCAACTAAGTCCAAATAGCTGAATATGCAGTCTGGATTTATTTTACTGGGCCTGATGATGGCGTATGTCTATAATATACAGTGCCTTAGATGTGTGATTGGAGAATTGCATAAAATTCAACCTGCAGGGTGACACAGCTGGCTGTACATTAAATATGATGTTAACCCATCTGTACAAATGTGAGTGTTTTCCACTATATTGTGAGTTTGATAAAACACGCAAAAATCACATCTTTGTAAGAGGGTCTAATGTCCCAATTCAGGAAACTGCTGAAGAATAGTCTTAAGGCTGCATGAAGCATCCCGGATAAATAATTAACTGTTCAGGCAGAATGACTCCCTGTTCATATAAGCAATGGAGTCTGCGCTCCATACAGTGAGGGAAAAAAGTATTTGATCCCCTGCTGATTGTGTACGTTTGCCCACTGACAAAGAAATAATCAGTCTATAATTTTAATGGTAGGTTTATTTGAACAGTGAGAGACAATAACAACAACAAAATCCAGAAAAACGCATGTCAGAAATGTTATAAATTGATTTGTATTTTAATGAGGGAAATAAGTATTTGACCCCCTCTCAATCAGAAAGCTTTCTGGCTCCCAGGTGTCTTTTTTTCCGAGTTTGTGGAGAAAGTTTGATATTCTACTGGTGAGTTTTTTTAACAAGCTGTGGTCTTTTTTTCACCAAGTGCAACTCATTAAAATAAATCCAGACTAATTTCCAGGATTTTCAGCCCCTGCAAATCTTCCGACACAAAACTTTGAGAAATTAAGCTTACAGCAGAGAAAAATGCTTTCTAGACCCAAAATAATTTGGCAAAATTAATTGAAGGTTTCTTGAAAAAAAGTACTTTTAGACATACGCCTGTTGGTCAAAACTGGCTCCGTCAGATCACCAGAGAAAATGGCACCACACCCTTGTGCGACCAACCAGCTTGCCAATGATAAACGGACATGGAGATGCCTCCACCGATGTTTCAGCTGACCGTGCATGCTGATCAACCTCGGGCGTGCCAGTATCACGGCGCACCGCATTGCACACAAACCGCGTGGAGCCCTCGTTTACCCCCTTCCAGGTTGACCGGCGTTGGTCCGCCACCGTGGTGGCACAGCTGCAGTGCAGTGCTGCGAGTGTCATGATGGACGAACGGACGGGCTCGCGCAGCTGACGGCCGGCGTTGTGCTTGTGGCAGGCCCCAACCGCTCCGCCTTGCAGGACATGCTGGCCAACCTGCGCGAGGTGGACGAGCTGTCCCCATTGGCAGCCTCCAGCCCGCCCCGCCAGCCCGAGGAGCGGGCCGCCCCCCTGCCTCACGACAATGCCCGCTCCGATGAGGGTACAGGATGGCGCCGAGTCCCCGAACCCTGCCTCCCTCGTCTCGTCTTGTTGCCCCCGTGTCCCGTCCGGTCGTCTTCCTCACCTTAACCACCACGTCCAATGTTTTGCACATTGCGCCTGCACATCTCATCCACCCGCATCCCGGTCACCACGCTCATCCCACACCACCCGGACACGATCGTATTGGAATCTTGTGCATGGAGAGGTTGACAACTTTGTAAATTGAAAACCATCTCATATTAAACTTAGTTGTTTCACTCTCATTGGCTATGTCCAGAAACAGAGATGCATCCTTATCTTCTAAAGAATCAAATCCTTATTAGCTAAATGCTTTCACAAATGGCCCACAGTACTCCACTTGATTCGAGGCCTTAGCTTTCTACTCTCCCAGCTACATCTTCAATATCCAGAGCAACCCACCCAACTCCTTGCTGGACATCCATCTTCACCGACCTTTTGTGCTGTGAAGACATCCAAACCACTGCCTCAGTCTTCCCCCCCCCCCCCCCCTCCCAGTTCCTGAATGTTCTCCCTTACCTCTTTCCTCACTAATGGCACTCTCTCCTTTTGCCAAGGGAGGCCGCTTCGTGTTTGTTGCTGCCGCCAAGCCCCTTTGCAATACTCTCTCCTCCTTTGCCCCCCCTCGTGGCGCTCGTGGCGTCCCTGCTTGCAGCAGCAGCACGGGCAGCTCACGTCCATCTGCTCCCCCCCCCCCCCCAGTAGTCTGTTGTTGTGTGCCCCCTGCTGTTCACCCGTCATCTTTGCAGAATGCAGAGAATGGTGGTTGTTGTTGTGGTGCCACTGTGTTGCGTATTGTTCCCCGTGACCCGCTTGCTTTTCTTCTGCAGTCCAGCGATTTGTCTCTTTCACCGATGCTTGGCTGGTGTCCGGGTGGCGTTGCCCCATTTTCAACCGGAGCTTTGTTGCTATTCTGCTGGCCGGCTTTATCCGCAGCAATTCTCTGTGTCCTTCATTGGCTTTGGTTTGTTTGCTGCCTGTGCCTTCTCCATGTTTGCTTTTCTTGATGTCGGGACTCTTTTACTCCAGCCTTGAGTTGCGGGTGCTGTCCTCGTTTAATTGGGTATCTTGACTCTGCTCCTGCCTCGGATGTGACTTCTGATTTGTGCGACGATTTTCCTTTCTACCAACTTTTGTAGGCCGTTCCCCGCCAGTGGCTAATGCTGTAGAGCTATCTGTTGTTTGTCTGAGACTTGTGGCATAGAATGAATGCAATTGACTTGCAATATATTCAATTCACCTGTCTCTAAGTAGTAGGTAACCTAACAGTGATGTTTTCAATAAGATATTAATATGCACTGATGGAACATGATTCTGAACGCAAATTAGTACGAATTATTCCCAGTGTTCTTCAGCTGAATAATAAGTGAGTTTAAGGCTTCACAGAGGGATAAGGTATCAATGTGGTTCTCCGCTTGTTGCAAAGATCCATGGTTTTATTCCAACGGCCGCCCTGGTGATTATTTTGTGGGCGTATGAACGAAATATTTATGCAGTCTGTTTCACAGTGGATATTAAAGGATCCTGTAATGTCATGCACAAGAGTAGGCCCTTGTGTACCAGTGTCATGGCCAACATTTTAAACCTTGCCTGAACATTTCTCAATTACACTCAACTTAGCTATCATTGCCCCTACTACAAAAACTTTCCAGGTCCCGCCTGCAAAACAGTTTCGGGACTGAAGTTTTCCTTTGTAACCAAGCATAGTAATAATAATGTCAGTGTACAGAGAGCATTTCACATATGCCTTGAAAGCTGTCTCAATGAATCCACCAATCAGCACGACCCACTCTATTCGCACACCACTCATGGTGAATCCTTCCATAATTTTTCAAGTCCCAACTTGTGACCACTGCAATGCCTAGCCACCTGTGTGCTCTTTCATGACCCTTCCCTCTTTATTCTCACTGCCCTGATCAATGTGTACCAACTTTTTGCCCAGTGGCAATTTTCACTGGGAGTGGGTTTGCTTTGAGCATGTTGTGATTTAGGCGATACTTATGAGGTATGAGTTGTGCCCTGCAGTTCCAGCCAATCCCTGTCCAGGTCTATCCGCAATCTGTCAAGATGACAGACACGTTTCGATTTAAAGCTTTCATGACTGCAGGGATTCATCTTCTTGGTTCTTTCGATAAAGGCACGTAGAATGGAAATAAAATAATAAAAATAAAACATAATAAAATAAAATTCTCACGACGTTTCGGCCACAACACAAGTAGCCTTCCTCAGGTGAAGAAACAGAACTGTCGCGAAGACAGCACTTCAGTGAACACTGCCAAGCTTGGCAGCGTCTTTTAAGCTGGGTGGGAGGAGCAGAGCGCCTTGACGAAGGAGTTTACATATCAACAGAATAATTTAGCATTAAAGTAGCTGTGTTAATGTGTTGGATTAGCAGGGTGTTAAAGACAGAAATTAGCATGTAACTGGGAGATTAGCATAATGTTAGTGTGAGGGATTAGCATGTAACTATGTCGGAAAAAGTGGCGGTTTCTTTTTTCTTTTCAACGTTAGCACCACAGAAAGCGACGAGCTTTGTTCAGACGGACGAGTCCATCTATGCTTGGAACAGAGGAGGGGGAGAGAGAGAAACAGCCACGATGCGCTGCTCTGTCCTGTGTTGCGTTACAACTGTGCTATAAACTAGACTACTATACATTACAATATTATACCTTCCAAACTAAACTACATTGCATAATATCGTATACACAGCCCAATGTTAGCTCTAACATGCATATATTGATATGCCTCCAACTAAACTTTTTTCTAAATTACACGACTATACACCGTAATATACACTGCCATAGACAAACCACACCCTTGAATTATACAGTGCGTTACTATACATTACCCTATACTTTAGACTATAAAATATTAGACTTGTAATATTACACGATGCATTATTCTGCCAACCCTACTGTATGGACTCGTCTGTCTGAACAAAGCTCGTCGCTTTCCGTGGTGCTAACGTTGAAAAGAAAAAAGAAACCGCCACTTTTTCCGACATAGTTACATGCTAATCCCTCACACTAACATATGCTAATCTCCCAGTTACATGCTAATTTATGACTTTAACATCGTGCTAATCCAACACATTAACACAGCTACTTCAATGCTAAATTCTTCTGTTGATATGTAAACTCCTTCATCAAGGCGCTCTGCTCCTCCCACCCAGCTTAAAAGACGCTGCCAAGCCTGGCAGTGTTCACTGAAGCGCTGTCTTCCCGACAGTTCTGTTTCTTCACCTGAGGAAGGCTACTTGCGTTGTGGCTGAAACGTCGTGAGAATTTTATTTTATGTTTCATTTGTATTATTTTATTTCCCTTCTACGTGACTTTACCGAAAGAACCAAGAAGATGACAGACACGGTGATGCGTACCAGTAACCCAACATTTCCAGAAGCGAGCGTTTTAATTGATCGCATCGCTGTAAAAAAAATCCCAAACCCCTGTTGGGTGGCCAGGAGATGACACACAAGTGGGTTTGTCGAGCTGTCTATGCAGATGTGTGATTTATTTTTTTCCTTTTGTGAATGGGTTTTTCAGGGTACTCCTTTTTCCTCCCTACAAAGGAACTGGTCAAAAATCGAAATGTCGAACCTTCCGCAAAACATATTAATACTCAAGTGACGTTTTCCTTGGTAAATAAATAACGTTGTTTTAAGATATACAGTAGATGATACATGTTGCATTTACCCATCACATGCTGACTTCTCGAGCACCTGAACCTCAATGTAACTATTTCCTTAAGCGCTTCTAAACATGCAGTAGCCAGATTCCAACACGCAATGCCTGGATATTGCAAAGCATTGTGCGGATCTTGACAGGTGGCCAGAACTCAATGGGTGATGGCAGAACTCGATAAGTAATCACTTTTCTGTTAGACCTCTGGCCGGAAAAGCTTCTTGTAGCCCAACCCATGTGTCTCCTCAAGCACCGCACCCGTCCTGCAACCATACTGGCCCAAAGCAGCCCCTACATAGAACACGCACATACTGATCTCTGTTCACCCACTTGCTGGTGGCCTGCCCTTGGAACACTTTTACTCCCCTTCCCGTGTCGCCCTCTGCTGTCCCCCCCCTCCATCCCCTGCCCCCGGGGTGGCAGGCGAGAGCCCGTTTCCCCGCGGCACAGGGAAGATGTTCATCAGCGGCCCCGAAGAGGCCATGGACACAACGGGCCTCGGGGAGCTTGCGGACCTCACCGTCACCAACGACGCCGACTCGCCCAGCTATGACGTACGCAACCCCGGCCCTGCGCTCCCTGCGCGTCCACGTACAAAGACAAAGGATCCCCCTGGAGACCTGATAAACGTTGGGGGGGTTGGGGGGGCAGGGGGGAATTGCTTTTGGCAAGGATCTGTGTTAAGGCCAGCACGGCATTCGAGAGGATGGTCGTTTCTAGAGCTGTTGTCCGGCCACTTTAAACACGTTTTACACACAAACGTGCAGGAGTATAAAAAGGTTATATACACATACGTACATACATCCAAAGATCTGTGAACATAAAAATGCACCACACACCTCATCTCCACCATTTCGTTCACATGGTGTGCCGTTGTTCTTTGTAAAGCGCCTTGGTTTAGGCACTATTAATTATGTTCAGATAAGACATAAGTACATGTGGAAAGTATAACAATCCCTTTGCATTCTGCCACCCAAATCTATAACAAATTAGGACATTTGTTAAATTCGAAGAAAAAATTACTGTATTGCGATTTTGCTCAGCAATCATTGCCCCCGACTGGCAGACTAATGCCCCAGAGCCACTCTTACAAATGTTACCATCCTGGCCTCTCGAGCTCTCACTTGGTTAAACAAAATAAACTTCAAACTAAACGATTGCTGTGATGTATTGCCTCCCTCCCCCCCCTCATTCCTGGCTGTAGATTGGCGCCAACAAGGACGCGTTCCGTAAGACGTGGAACCCAAAGTTCACACTTCGCAGCCACTTTGATGGTGTGCGGGCGCTGGCCTTCCACCCGAGTGAGCATGTTCTCGTCACCGCCTCTGAGGACCACACTCTCAAGCTTTGGAACCTACAGAAGACCATCTCTGGAAAAAAGTGGGTCCCATTGCAAAACAAAGATCCCCCTGTATAACCTTAACAGACTTTTTGGGGCAAGTTGTGTTAGCACGTGCGCCTATGAAGGCCGGTACGGCACATGAGGGGGTTGATGGCCTGCCCCACGCCTGGCCGCCTTTGTCTCCCTAGTGCTGCTATTTACACATCGTACCAGGTACTGATTTGAGGCAGAGTCGACCTAGGGGAGGCCCAGGCCGGTTCAGATAATTGTCATCGATGTTGGTCGTAAGTGGGAATGGTACTTGGGTCGCTGGGTTTGTAGTGCAGTGCGCTAATCACTGCACCACTAGCTCCCCCACTGGACCACTGGTCCCAATGCAATCATCACATTCACGCATGCTCTTTGCTGTGTGCATCCTCGAGCCCGTTGTCATGCGCTTAACGTGCGTCGTCATATTCCAATGCCCTCTTCGTTTCACCCGTGAATGTCTGCACACTGATACGTGTACACTCGTGATGTGCGGTACTTTGTCTGGTGTCTCTGAACTTAAACATTTGTATGCAAAGCTTTTCTCCTGACATTGTGGTACATTACACTCAGCATATACGTTCATTAAAAAAATTGGCCAGACATCCCATTGCAGGACCTTACCAAAAATGTCTTGTGAATTCTGATTAAAGCAGTTGTGTCACCGATTCAGTGAGTTATAGTGCGGTGGACTGCTGCTTTGATGGTCCTAAGCTAGTGGTGACAATTCCATATTGCTATATTGGGTATGAGTGATTCCATAGGACAGTTACTTTTGACTTCTCGCGTAGCCGTGCTCATTTTATGATTATTATCAGAGCCAACCCCTACATAGTGCCACTCTGCATGATTTTATTTACGGCTGTCGTTACTAATGTTTTATGAAAGGAAGTGAGAGTGAATTAAGACAACAATCCTATTTTCTAAGGAGATGAGGAATAAATAGAGATGAGGAGATTGGCCTCAGACTGTCGAACCAAGATGTGTACAATAAACCGTTTTAGGCATTGCACATCTACTTTGATGGCCCTGAGCCAATGGTTGCTCAGGACTGGGGAGATCAACTTTTCTCATCTCGTTGGGTGAGATAAGTTTAGGAACATTTTACGTGAGGTCAGTAGTCCTTGCCCTTGGGGATCCAATTACACACTGTATACGAAATGTGGAATTGTCACCACTGGGTCAGGGTTATAAGCAAGAAATGCAACATGCCCTGTGCTCTCTTTAGGAGCATACTCCCACTTATATAGCCACCAGACTAATTACTTTTCAAAAGTAATCTTTATGAGACTGTTTGCTTACTACTGCATGCAGCAATGTTGTTTAGACTACAGCATCATCTCAAGTAAAACATTTATTTTACAAAAACTCACAGTTGCTGGTTTAGCACGTTTGACGTTTTGTGAAATATGGCAGAGAGCAGTTGGTAACGATTTACGGTTATGTCTGACCAGGGAGCTCCAAGGGCAGCGCTTGTTTTTTTAATTCTTGTGCACTCGGATTTTTTCTTGCGTGGAGGACCATCTGCACGGTCGGGCAGTGTGGTAATGCATTCGTAAAACAACAGTAGAGGATTGACTCGTGCTGCAGAGACGACTTTACATTGTGAACAGTCACTGCTCCCTGTCCTCGCTGTAGTAGTAGATGGGCAGAATCGTAGCTATGAGTCGTCTGAAAGTGGTGTTTAAAGCAGCTCTGGTCAAAAGGTTATGGGGTCCCTAATATAGAAACAAATACCAAAGGATGAGGAGCCTCCATTCGTGACAATAGCACACTAGCAGGGTAGTGAACATTGGGTAATCATAGGATGTACAGACGTTTATTAAGCCACTCCTGACTGAAGGCCTCTCTACACCGTGAAATTTGTGGGGGTTATATGACCATACTTTACCCTGATCGCTGTGGGTTTGTGATGGTTGGGAGCATCGACAATGTGTGCATTGCCTTCATTTTCCCATTATTTATCTCCACAGACAATAACACCGCTTATTCATGGTTGTTGCCCATGCAAGTGTTGTGGTGCAACTGACGACACTGACACGGTTCTTTTAGTAGGGGCTGATGCCAAGGTTTATTAAGGGCTACTGCCGGTAACTTATTAAAGGCTTACGCCCAACAGGTGACAACCCTCATATCTCCCCAGGGGAAAGGGTACTGTGAGGTCCCTAGCTCCACCCAGGCTATACGTGATCTCCCCCCCCCAGCACCGACCGAGGGATCATCCAACTCGGTCGGCCGGGTGAAGTATCACACTCGCCTGGCGTTGATTCTCCCTACCCTCGACCCCGACTCCCTAACTCTCTCCGTTCCTGGCCCTTGGTGACGCCCCCCTCGACGTCACGGGTTCCCCCTTGTATATCCCCCGTAACCTCTGACGTCATCCCTTTTCCACCCCCCTGAGTGACATTACGTCCTCCACTACTCCTCTACACAAGCACTATCCAGGCTCATGGCATTGCTATATGCATGCAAGCCTGTTGTAGACCACTGGCATCCACAAATACTGGAAGATGAGTAGCTGCTGCTCTGTCACTAACTGCCACCAACCACCCAAAACACGACATGGGACAGCTTTCTGATTGGCAAAAAGACTCGCACAGCTGTCCTTCAACAAGTGATGGTAATGTCACTCCAGCATTTTGGACGGGCTTAAATGCACGTTGAAAATCCCGTAGAGTGGTGAGCCCCTCCCTAATTACTCGTTTATGGCTTAGTCAATCTAGGAGAGACCCAGAAGAGCTTCAGATACTAATTTGTGCTTACAGTGAGGGAAAAAAGTATTTGATCCCCTGCTGATTTTGTACGTTTGCCCACTGATAAAGAAATAATCAGTCTATAATTTAATGGTAGGTTTATTTGAACAGTGAGAGACAGAATAACAACAAAATCCAGAAAAACGCATGTCAAAAATGTTATAAATTTATTTGCATTATGAGGGAAATAAGTATTTGACCCCCTCTCAATCAGAAAGATTTCTGGCTCCCAGATGTCTTTTATACAGGTAACAAGCTGAGATTAGGAGCACTCCCTTTAAGAGTGTGCTCCTAATCTCAGCTTGTTACCTGTATAAAAGGCACCTGTCCACAGAAGCAACCAATCAATCAGATTCCAAACGCTCTATCATGACGAAGACCAAAGAGCTCTCCAAGAATGTCAGGGACAAGATTGTAGACCTACACAAGGCTGGAATGGGCTACAAGACCATTGCCAAGCAGCTTGGTGAGAAGGTGACAACATTTGGTGCGATTATTCGCAAATGGAAGAAACACAAAAGAACTGTTAATCTCCCTCGGCCTGGGGCTCCATGCAAAATCTCACCTCGTGGAGTTGCAATGATCATGAGAACGGTGAGGAATCAGCCCAGAACTACACGGGAGGATCTTGTCTATGATCTCAAGGCAGCTGGGACCATAGTCACCAAGAAAACAATTGGTAACACACTACGCCCTGAAGGACTTAAATCCTGCAGCGCCCGCAAGGTCCCCCTGCTCAAGAAAGCACATGCATGCCCGTCTGAAGTTTGCCAATGAACATCTGAATGATTCAGAGGACAACTGGGTGAAAGTGTTGTGTTCAGATGAGACCAAAATGGAGCTCTTTGGCATCAACTCAACTCGCCGTGTTTGGAGGGGGAGGAATGCTGCCTATGACCCCAAGAACACCATTCCCACCGTCAAACATGGAGGTGGAAACATTATGCTTTGGGGGTGTTTTTCTGCTAAGGGGACAGGACAACTTCACCGCATCAAAGGGACGATGGACGGGGCCATGTACCGTCAAATCTTGGGTGAGAACCTCCTTCCCTCAGCCAGGGCATTGAAAATGGGTCGTAGATGGGTATTCCAGCATGACAATGACCCAAAACACACGGCCAAGGCAATAAAGGAGTGGCTCAAGGAGCACATTAAGGTCCTGGAGTGGCCTAGCCAGTCTCCAGACCTTAATCCCATAGAAAATCTGTGGAGGGAGCTGAAAGTTCGAGTTGCCAAACGTCAGCCTCGAAACCTTAATGACTTGGAGAAGATCTGCAAAGAGGAGTGGGACAAAATCCCTCCTGAGATGTGTGCAAACCTGGTGGCCAACTACAAGAAACCTCTGTGATTGCCAACAAGGGTTTTGGCACCAAGTACTAAGTCATGTTTTGCAGAGGGGTCAAATACTTATTTCCCTCATTAAAATGCAAATCAATTTATAACATTTTTGACATGCGTTTTTCTGGATTTTGTTGTTATTCTGTCTCTCACTGTTCAAATAAACCTACCATTAAAATTATAGACTGATCATTTCTTTGTCAGTGGGCAAACGTACAAAATCAGCAGGGGATCAAATACTTTTTTCCCTCGCTGTATGTTATCCTTAGCCAGGAATTGAACCCAGGTCACTGGGTTTGTAGCAGCATTCAAATCACTGTCATCATTCCCTCTTCATACAAGCACAAATTTGAGGGACAACAAATAGAATTTTCCAGTTGGCGTGAAATTAAATTTGTTGCGTGGAGAAGTTGTCCAGTAGGGTGTGTTGTGTGTGTGTGTGCATGATTTTAATCCACATTAGAATCACCAGCAGCCCAACATACTAATGATTTGATAATTGCCCTGAAAATACCTCAGGCAGTTTGGCATTGTGTTTGCATGCGATGATGAACAACAGCCAATCTTTAATTGTCTTACAGTGTCTGTCATTAGCATTCCCATGAAATCCCTTTAGGGATGCAGTGACGGATGGATTCTTTCATGGGATTTAGTCTCCTCCGCATGGCGCTATTCTGTTCTAAATATTTGATTAACGAATATTGACTGCCATCACATCTAGCAGGGTTGGGGGCCAAGCATCCTACTCAAAATCGGAAGGTTGTAAGTTCAAATCCTCGGCAATGGTTAACTCAGCCCATGATCTTTCTGGGGTGATACAATGTTTACTACTTAGTAGGAAGTCAACAATAGCTACCCTGTGGAGAGGCTTAGGAATTTCCACTACTGACTCAGGATTTCCAACAGAGGTGAGCACCACCCAAAGCTTTTGTATACAGATACACTTTGACACTCTTTGGAATTAAAGAAAGGGACCTTGCTTCCACGGAGACAGACTGCTGCTTTTGGTAATGAGAATAAATGCTTGTTTACTGTAACGCTTGCACGTACATGCACCCTTCAAGCCGGAAACCAAAATCGTATCCGTGTAACCACTTCAATAAGTGGCCAGTCTCCTAGAGCTCGCACATGAGGTGTGGTCAGCATTTTTACCCGAATTAATAACATGTTAGATTTTCTTTGTGTGCATGTGTCGGTGGCCATCTCTCTCTGTGGAGTTGGCATTAACTTGCTGGCAGCACTAAACCTGAGTACTGTACAAGTTATGGACTGACTTATTCACCATCTACATTGGCATTTGCTTCCAGATTTGAAATTGGGCAGCAGTCTGCTCTGTATTCTTCTGTTTGAAAAGATGGAAATATCAGACTTAAATGTTGACTTAAAGCTTTCGTGACTGCAGGAATTCATATTTTTTGGGTCTTTCGGTAACGTCACGTAGATAGGTTCAAAGAAAATGACAAAAAACTACGGCGTTTCGATCGCAACACAAGCGTTCGTCATCAGTAAGAGGGGGTTAGCTTCTAAAGGTAAACTGTTTATAAAGGTTTGAAATGGGCCCAGCCCAAATGTCAGCAGCCAATGTTAATGTAAGTGGTGGGCAGTGACCACGACGGTGGTGGGTTTTCCCACCAATCAAAGGGTTGCCCAGTAAAAATCAGCATGTTAATGTGAGAGATTAGCATGTTAATGTGAGAGATTAGCGTGTTAATGTGAGAGATTAGCGTGTTAATGTGAGAGATTAGTGTGTTAATGTGAGAGATTAGCGTGTTAATGTGAGAGATCAGCGTGTTAATGTGAGAGATTAGCATGTTAATGTGATATATTAGCATGTTAATGTGAGAGATTAGCGTGTTAATGTGAGAGATTAGCGTGTTAATGTGAGAGATTAGCGTGTTAATGTGAGAGATTAGCATGTTAATGTGATATATTAGCGTGTTAATGTGAGAGATTAGCGTGTTAATGTGAGAGATTAGCGTGTTAATGTGAGAGATTAGCGTGTTAATGTGAGAGATTAGCGTGTTCATGTGAGAGATTAGCGTGTTAATGTGAGAGATTAGCGTGTTAATGTGAGAGATTAGCACGTTAATGTGAGAGATTAGCGCGTTAATGTGAGAGATTAGCGTGTTAATATGAGAGATTAGCGTGTTAATGGGAGATCGGAAAGAAAAAAACCTCAAGCTCGGTGAGCACGGTGGTTGGGTTAGGGTGAGAAATTTAGCCTGTGACTAAAATCAGAGCCGAAAATAACAACTAACATCGGAAGGTGGTAGGAAGGGAACATCATAGCCAATTATGACTTAATCTGGTTTGTAACGTCCTTCCAATGATTGCTTAGTTTATATCCATCTTCTCGATTAAAATTGTGTGTCTATATATGGATGGCTTCATGCACGAATCTTTGTTGATAGCCAGTGGGTTTGCAAAGTACCTTCGTCTTAGAGAAATCAATTAAAAACGATGATCAGCCACGGCCGAGGTATTGGTCCTACCGTGTTTCGGATCTGCCTTATGTTCACGAACACGGTCCGAGACATGTCGCTTAGTTTCCCCAATGTAACTACTGCCGCAGACACAGCTTAGTTTGTAGACGCCGGGGTATTGCATGTCAGGGATCGCATCCTTCAAAGATGGGATCAGATGACGAATTTTATGTACTGTGTTAAATCGAACCTGGATCTTGTGTTTGCGCATGATTTTGGAAATGTTTTTGGTGACCCCTGCTATGTATGGCAAGGTGATGGTTGAACCTATCTACGGGACTTTACCGAAAGACCCAAAGAATATGAATATCAGACTTGTTCAGTTGGTATGTTTGTCCTTGTTGGTGTGCTGAAACTATCTGTGTTGTCGAGGCTGCCGTTGATGGTGCGCACGTTGTGTTGTCGCAGGACGGCGTCGCTGGACGTGGAGCCGATCTACACCTTCAGGGCCCACACGTGAGTGCTGCTTCTTCCACGCCTCTGCTCACGCTATATTCCTGTGTTTCCTCGGCACTGTTGCAAAAGTATCCTCATCTCTGGTGAAATTAGTGTGCCACGTTATGGTTGTCCTATGGAGACACTGGCCCCAGTCCTGGGAATGCAAAATCTCACCACTGATTCAGAACTGCCAAAAGAGGTGAGAACCACTCCATGTAGAATTTCTTCCCCTGGCACAGAAATGCTAGCGGAGGTGAGCATCACGACAACGCACGCACGCGTGATCATGGAGACCCTTCTGCATTCGACATTTTGAGAAGCTTGTGCACACACACACGTTTTGAGACCTTGTATAAACCTGTGAATTTAACTTGAAATGTAACGTTCATGCACTTTAATGCCACCAGCATATACAGGTTTTAAAGAGATATCTTTCAGCAAGCAGGTGTTGCGTTATATTGAGCTGTGAAAGGAACATTAACACTCGCATCGGAACCACTTATCTCCTACCCGTCTACTGGTTCTTGGCAACCTTTAGCGAAAAGGTGACTAGTCGCCAATGTTTCTGTGAATGGTGTACACAGCTCTTATTTATTAATTTCTATTGTAAGTAGATATGCAGTTGCATGGCAGTGAGTGAACATCACACAATCCTCAGCAGCAGTAGCATCACCTGTGCAGTTTGTGTTCAATACAAATGGTGTATCTGGCCAGGTGGCAGTTTGGTACATTATGCATGCACATTATGCAAGCACATTGTACTTGTGCAGGAGGATTTCACCACAAATCTGGCTGTCGCCTGATGAAGCTAGTTGTAATTTCTGGCGAAACGTCATACTCAGATTATAAATGTTGTGGCTTTGCTCTCCAACACTGGTGTGCTGTACTAGTAACGAATTGGCATATTCTGTTTACTTCACAAATCTTACTAATTGGCTGTGTAGGGTGGTGGTGGGTTTAACGACACATATTTACGCGATCTAACCCCAAAAAACTGTACTATGGACGTGTACTCAACATATACCCGATACGTACTGTTGTACCACTGTATTCACTTCTGGTTATATCCTTATCCTACCCCACTCTCGCGCCTAATTTCTGGAGACATTTTTCATATCTTCTCTTCTGAATAATTTTTTTGTCACCTGCTGAATAATCTCTTGTTTCCATGTATCTCTGTTCTGAAAGAATATCCTGGTTCTCATATCTGCATTTATAGCCTATTGACAATAGAGGTAATATATAATCATAGTAATTGTCAACAAGAGTAACTTGCCAATTTATTTTCCTGTATAGCGAAAGCAAGATATATCTTGCTGAAATACGTGGTGAACCAGGTTCTCTCCAAGCCTGATTATTTCCTTGGTCAAAACCCCATTTCCTTGCACAAAACAGTTATTATTAGGGTTAGAAGTAGCAAAATCTATGGTCAATGGTGCAGTTCTGTGGTAATTTGTTCAGGCAATGCCGTTTGTTTTTTGTGGACATTAAATACCCTTTGTGAACGTCATGAAAGGAGCCAAAATCCCCAACTTGGAAGCTATAAATACACAACATAAATTTACTAAATAGATAAGCAGACAATGTCTCTTTAATATGTGTTTCTCCACATGAAAAATAAGTGTTTACACTTGCCGTCCACCACAGGGCCTTCTGGGGAGTGCATACATTTTGGGGCATCTCCAGAAACGTACAACCTAAAACACAAAAATATGTTTATGATCTGGACGAGTGTCATTACCCATTAGCATCGTTGATAATATAAATAACTAAATTAATGAAATGACAATATGCATCTGTCGTATATCTGTCTTTCCACATGAAAATAGTCTTATTTACAGAACCCGCTGGCCCGAAAGCCATCTAGGAGTGAATAATTTCAGCATTATTGATTCAGTACAAGCAAACACTGGACTGGTTTTGACATACGGTGTCTCATCAGCAGTGTCAGGCTTGGTTTAATCAATGTTGTTGAACTGCCAGATATTAAAGGCAAGGACCTCTTAAAAATGTAGTTCTTACTCTTTGTTTTTTTCGGTAAAGTCACGTAGAAATAATAATAAAAAATATTATTATTATTTCTACGTGACTTTACCGAAAAAACCAAAGAGTAATTCCTGCAGTCACGAAAGCGCCTAATCATGTAGTTCTTAGTTCAACGCGGTATTATATGATGCATAATTCAAAATAATAAAGTGGAATTAGATTGCATTAGTTCTCAAAGGTTGAGAGTGAGAGACTGTTTACCTTTCTACAGTGACCCTCCCATCACGGGTAGGTATAACCTCACTGATCAACCCAACTTCGATTCTTTGATTTTTTTTGCCATCGTTTTCAGATCCTCTCCAACTCCTTCTTTAGAGAGTGAGGCCTTCCATGTTTCTCTTGTGCCCCCTAGTGGATGAGACATGACTCAATGAGATCAAAACAAAGGTTTCCCCCCCCCCCCCCCTTGTTTAGCTTGATAGAATGTCGGGTAAACACTGTTAATGAGCGCTTTTTCAGGCTGACTCAGCATGTAGAATGAAAATGTGTGGATAGCACTCTGCCTGGGCCCGTTGTGTCTCTTGTCTTGGTCTCCACACACTGCCATGCATTAATTTAACATTTTAGGAATGTTGAACTTCTTTGGCACCGTATGTAGCCAACCGTGCTAATCGAAGTTGCGGGGAAGAACAACAAATGAGGATAAATTCACCTAAAGTGGGTGGTGAGGTGGCATTGTGGTTTTGTTTCTTGGCTGGCATTTTGAAGGTTGTGGATTCAAATCATGGCTGGGGAAAACCTCAACTTCTTAGTGGTCCAAATGACAACCACTTTCTGGGTTGCTGGAGTTTTGCTAGAAGTGGCTGGGTGGTTCGGGGGGGGGGGGGGGGGGGGGGGCTTGTGTGTCGGTGGTGCTGAGCAGACACGGAGATGAATTGGAATACAGGAAACCACCAGTGATTAAATTGTCAAATTGTGTTGTCAAGTAAAATGAGTTGATAGTCCTAGCACGGTCACTATTGACTGCATGCACATTAACAATCACAGTAGATGTTTTTCTTCACATAACTTGTCTTATTCCAGCTCTGAAAATAAAGTTAAAGGTTTTATTGTTAGGCAGCAGCCCTCGTGAGGGTATGAGAGGCCTATTTAGGTTTCAGAACTGATTCTCTTCCCTGATGTCACACCCAGGGTTGTCTGATGCTGGTGACTCCCAGAGTTCAAAATGGAAATGTATTTAGCTTGTGACATGATGGTATAAAAAAAAGTGTAACTTTTGGGTAAACAGTCTCCCACAATAGAAATGTGGAATATCTACAACTGCCTGAAGACCATCAGTGAAGATGATTTCCATCCCCTCATTTGTTGGGAGCATGGAGAAAGCTGAGGCCAGATTCCAATGCCAGTTGTACAGTGTGCATGGCCTGAAATTGAACCAGAGTCATTGGGACTGGCATGTCGTTACAGGCAGGTTTAAGGCACAGGGCACACTTCCCCAGGGAGAGTGCATGCATTGGAAAGGTCTTTCTCTCTTCACAAGCCTTTGCCTCGTTCATGGAAAGATGCTGCAGGACAGCTCCATGACTCATACTAACTGATGGGCGATTGATCTTTCCGGTCTAGAAGGTCACGCGAGAGGTTGTGAGCACTGCCGGCTGATTAAATTGGCGGCCCTGAGTCACCAAGTGTTTGATTAATTGCCTGATTAAAATTGTGAGCGTGCATGCCGTCACAAATCCACAGTTAAAACGGGAGAGAAAAATGTTTAGCTGGAAAGCATTTATTGACGTGTGCAGCTGTGTACAGCGCAGCGCATTTACTTGGTGCTTTATAGATATACCTCTAAACACCGGGTACTCATTTGTATTACACTTAGTTAGGTTAATGACGAATTAAGTTTACTGGCTTGAACAGGCATTGGGCAGTGGCCCTCTTCAGTCGTGACCTTGAGTCTGTTGTGAACATTCCGCATAGTTTGGCAGGCTCTCATCTCTCCATGGTATAGCCACGTTTGATTTCTTCACAAAATATCACATTGTATCTCCCCAGAATGGCTGATGGCCTGAGTTGGCCTAAAACTGAAATTTGAACTCCTAACCAGTCCATTTTTATTCAAGTACTCTACGATACCCCAACCAGGTATGAGGCAGTATACACTTGCAGAAATTATTAAACAGGCAAAGTAATTTGATTTTAGTCAGAATTGGTCAATAGTCTCGTTGTAAACACAGGGAAAGCTATGGCCAGGTGGTTCAGGGGGATCCGAAACGCTGAGCCAGTTCATCTGTGAAATCAGGGCAGCTACTGTTTATTGAGGCAGCTTCTGAAGTGTAGTAGTTGATGCATTATATGCATGCTTGCCTCACGACCTTTAACTCTAGCATATGAACCTAAAATATTCTATACTGTTCCAACGACTGGGTCTGAAAGCGCTGAACCATACAAACACTAATGTGTATTTACTCACATAAGATGACCTCTTTAATCCCGTTGTGTAATACAACTTTAAACGTCTTCCGTGAGGTCATGCACAAGTTTAAAATGTGCATACCAAAGACCTCATGCTGACTCTCTTGGACCCCAGGACTGCATCCTCGGGTTATAACAAAGCTTGCCTATTTCAAGGCCATGCATGAATGGAGCGTCTTCCCCTCTCCGTGCTGTGGTGTGCAGGGGCCCCGTGCTGAGCTTGGCCATCAGCACAAGTGGGGAGCAGTGCTTTAGCGGTGGAACGGACGCCTCCATCCGCTGCTGGAACATGCCTAGTCCCAACATCGACCCCTACGACACTTTTGGTTAGTGCCCTGACCATTTGCCCCCCCTTGCTGCTCTCGCTTTCTAGAAAATCTCTCTCACATACAGACACATGCACTCACCTTGTCTCCTGGTGCATGGTACCAATACTCACGTAATCTTACTTGTCAAGCCAGCCTCGCTCATCCCTTCGATGTCCATCCTGCTGACTCTAATGGTTTGAGCGGGGTGTTATTTATTTATCTATGTTAATACATTCTCACGGAAGCAGCATTAACCAGTTATGTGAAGAGGCAGCCTCTTCACATAACTGGAGGCTTTCATGGCAGTCTGTTGCTGGGTATGGCTCACTGATGAGGATCTTTTCAGGGTAAAATTTATACATATATTGTTGTGGAATAGTGGTCAGTATGCCACATTGTAATCTTGTAAACCTCAATGTGATTTCTGATTGATGCACAAATCCAATAGTACCAGGATATTATGTATTGGTGTCTGTTCGTACGTGTATATTCCTGTTTTACTGTGCGTATGTGCACACACGTGATGTGGGAATCTGTGGCGTAGTAGTTTGTTAGCACACTGCGCTACAAATCCAGCAACCTGAGTTCGATCGTAGCCACGATTGGCATCAATAAATAGTAATATCTCAACACTGGGGAGAGATCGACTCGGCTAGGCGTGGTGCTGGCCATAGCACCCCTTTGTGCACTGTTTGAGCCTAAAGAGGTGCTTACTAACAAATTGCCCTCACCCTGTTTGTATGTGTACATTTGTGGCTATGTGCTCATTGTGTTTGCGTCCCACAGAGGCGAGTGTGCTGGGACAGACGCTGCTGGGGCACAGCGACGCTGTGTGGGGGCTGGCCTACAGCAGTCTCCGGCGCCGGCTGCTCTCGTGCTCCGCCGACGGCACCGTGCGCCTGTGGGACCCCTCGTGCCAGGACTCGCCACCCTGCCTCAACACCTACAATCCCGACAAGGGTGTGTGCTCTAAGGGGCCACAGCACCAGACGCAGCACAGCTAGTTCGTCCAGCACGAGAACAATTCAATACGATTCGGATTTGTACACCCTCTAAATATTTCATTTCAGGATGCTGTACAGTAACAGGGGGCAAATGTTTTTTATGGAGCGAGGCAGTCACAAAGGAACAAAAGGAGTTGGTGTAGTAGAGGAGAATGAGTAACCTCCCACTGAGTGATGGTTGACTGGAGGCTTTGACAGAAAGCATTGGTTGCTATAACAGAGTGCATAGAGGGCAGTAGATGACGGGGGAGTGGTATGCAGGGATGAGTATGGAGGATAAGCACAGGACTAGCATCAATGCAATAACAGCCATCGTTTGCCACTGAGGAAGTGATGTCACCCCAGCTCGTGTCAGGCTAGGTGCTACAAAACAAGCCACATTACTGCACACAGCATGGACACAATGCCACTTTAGAATACTACCACATACAGAATGCATACAGTCCAACACCCTGTTCAGCTTTGATACCCTGGATATCAGGGTGATGCCTATTGTGTGTGAAGCATGTGTTTTCTTATATCGTTACAAAGCTTAGTGTCACATGTGCCTTGGCATTCAGCTGAACGACCGGTGGCAGTACCACAGCCCTGCAGTGCTCACATTCCATTCCCTCTCCTCGCGTTGCCCTGCACAGAGCATGGCATCCCGGTGTCGGTGGACTTTGTGAGCGATGCTTCGCACCTGGTGGCCACGTTTGGGGGCGGTGACACGCTGGTGTTTGACATGGAGACTGCCAAGCCCGTCATCACACTCGAGTCTCGCATTGAAACTGGTGAGGCCAGCAGCCGTCCCTGTGCCAGAAGTGGGGATTCCATGTTCTTCACGTTGGGGGTAAGCCTCTCCAAAGGGGATGGCCGCTGTTGGTTTACCACCAAGTGGTAATTTACCGACCCCGTAAGCATTATGGGCTGAGAATATATGATTTTGTTACATTCTGTTTTGAACTTTCAAGTTACTCTTTGCTATAATGTGACATTTCCAGCATCTTCATGTGCATCTGCATATGCACGGATTCTCAAAAATTTATTTTTCAAAATTCCTTTATTCGAGTGCGGCACTCCAAACTAAACATTAAAACCAACAACATAATAGATACATTATAACCAGTACCCGGTGTGGTGGCACTAAGTAGATGCCTGAGCTGGCTCCTCAGCACCTTTGGGATGTGGAAAGCCAATCGTGTTTTGTTCTGGTGAGACTGTCCTCCATCATCGAAATGTGACTTATTCGATTTGGTACAACTGCTGCCATCAACCACTTTCTTTATTCTGTAATTAACCAGTATTATACCAGTGCCGCAGTGGTTGGTGCATGCATTATAAAAATAGCAAACCTGAGTTTGAATCTCAGCCGTGGCTAATACGTCAGTCCGTGTGGTGGGGGAGGCTATTTTACATCAGCAGATTGTAAAAAGATTGCAATTTATTATTATTATTTACCTTGTGTAGTACTCATGTAGAATTTGCATAATATTAATGGATTTCTCATAAGTTTTACACAATGTGTGTTCATAGCATTCATAAAAAAAAATCCCAATATGCAAGATACTTGGTGTATTTGGTTTAACATGTCAACAGAAACGTTATGAAAATGTCTCCTGAGATTCAGTAAATAGTGGTGGTGACAATCGGTGGCATTCACAAATACAAACTTATTGTAAATGCTTTTGTGTTTCTTTTGTTTTTGCTAAGGTCGTCGCTTTGCTGCTTGGCTGATATTTGTTGGTAATGTCGTGTGCACCCGTGTGTGTCTACATGTGTATGCCCTTGTACCATCTCTACCCCAGACACACCGCTGGGGAACCAAATAAATCGTGTGGTGTCCCACCCAACGCTGCCCATCACCGTGACGGCACACGAGGACCGTCACATCAAGTTTTTCGACAACAACACGGGTACATCAACATCATCGGCATTGCGTAACACCTTATATGACACCTCGTCACATAGTGATTCAATCTCTCGCATGAAGCTCATCGCATCCTTCTTCAGAACAATACCAAACTATTTTTTTAAATGCCAAATTAGAAAAAAATATGCTTTTAAATATGATTAAAACAAAGTAATGGATGGAAACTCTCTGATTAGACTTAGTGAGATCCAAAGATTGTGGTTGTAATAGAAAAAAGTGGAAGTTAATTGGCTTACCACTTTGGCCATAACAAGTACCCAATCGGCCAGGTGGTTAAGGGTCAGTGGATCGCAGTCTTAAGGGTTGGGGGTTGATGCAACCCATGGTCCCTCCGGGGTTGATGAGTTACACTCTGTTGGGATGCCAACAGTGGTTGTCCATTGGATAGACTCACCCCTACCATAGGAATGAGGAACATCCACCACCAAGACGAGCACCTCAATGCTCAATTGAGAATTATATCACGTTGACATTTTTTAAGCATCATAAAGGCTCTTCCATTGCTTGTTTTCTAGAATCAACAATGCCCGGCATAGGAATGTATCATTTTTAACTCTGGCTGCCAAGGCCCACTCGAGCAGAGAGACATTCTGGATTTGACTCGTATCACTTGTCCCATTGGTCTCCTGATTTGTAGTTGTATGAATGTTGATCTTATTTCTCTCTGTTTGTAGCCAACTGTGCTAATCGATTTGATACACCATCGCTCTTCAATGGGGCTTACTTTGCACCAACAGGGAAACAGGTGCACTCGATGGTGGCTCACCTGGACGCCGTCACCTGCTTGGCCGTGGACCCCAATGGCCTCTACCTGATGTCTGGAAGTGAGGGTGCACATTCGCGCACGCAAAATAGCACCATGCACCAAACACCCTTCTGGCTGGCACTTGGAGGGGGTGGCCATTATCTGTATGGGCCGTGTGTCGTACTTACTGTGTGGGGAGTCTGATGGATCATGTGTCATGGGGTGGATTGGGGGTGCAGTGGTGTGTGTAATGCACCACGATTCCAAACAACCTGGGTTCGATTCCTGGCTGGGAGTAACAGTGTAAAATGGCATAAGAAAAATGGGCTCTTGCATGGATAAATTAAGGATCTGAGTGTAGTTAGGGTTTTTTGGAGATATTAAAGCAATTTTAAGGTAATACAAATGTCAAAATATTAAACTTAATAGTTGTGCTTTATAAAAATGTGTAAAACATTAACACATACTTCCAGCAAGTCTGCAACGAGTTAGACAGATATAGAAACTACACCACTTTTGCCGGGACCACAACTTGAATCATGATGGAGCTGTGAACATAGCTGTTCTGCAGATGTGCCCATATTCATAGCTGGACACGACACATTCTTCAGCCACGTTCTCATGATATTCCCATATGTTGCGGCTGGGAGGGAATGGCATTATTTACCTGACAGAGGCAACCGCTGAAGGGGCTGTTTTATTGGTAGCCTGCCTCACCATCGGAACAGCACGCACGTTTTACCGCAATCTGAAGTGATACACGATGTAGCCAGTGTGTTGAAGCACATCTGTAGTCCAGTACTTTAGAGGCAAGGGTTGGTGGATCATGTAGGTTTGTGAAACTCCGAAACCTGCTGGGCCGTGAAATAGCTTGGAAAAAACGGTACAGCTCTCGCGGGTTTGTGAATCTATGCCTGTGAGAGTGTTTTATCCCTCCCTATGTGGGGAATTTCTCTGGATATTCTGGTTTTCTCCCACATGTATAACACTTTTGGAATTAGCAAACTATCCCAATGTAGGAGCCCTATGAAATAGATTTGAGATACATCGAGGCTTTTCTAGTTTTTTTGTTTACTGTTGTTACTCTTTCCAAGTGCGGCATGGAGCCAGTGCCGTCTTGGGCCACAATGAGACCACCCACAGTGGTGTTCTTTCACGACTTAATTTTGCTCAGTGTCCCAATAACTCGGAATGCAAGCCCCTAATGTAGAGTCAGAAGAATATAATGAGCCAGAAATAATACGATTTCAAATATAACTAATAGTCGTGGTGTGACAGAAGCACTTTGAGACTCCCAACTTCCTGGGCTATGTGGTGGCAGGTAGACAGCATTCTGGCCTCAATCTAAAACTCATTTGAAATGTTTTAACCCCTTGTGTGGATATTCTCCAGATTATTTCAGTTTCCGACGTGAAAAATGCTCGTGTTATCCTCCAGAAAAGCATATCTTGCGGCTTTTCTACATAAATAACTCGTATTTGTATGTCATTGAACAATGGAATGATAACATTTCTGTGTACTCAGATTGTAAATGTTGTGGTTTTGCTCTCCAACACACCGGTGTGCTGTACAGTAACGAATTGGCATGTTTTGTTTACGTGACGAACCTAACGAATTGGCTGCGTCGGGTGGTGGCGGATTTAATAACACATTTTTATTTACGCGGTCTAACCCAAAAAAACCTATACTATGGATATTAGTTGCGAAAGCCGACATGTTAAACTATAAGCAGATCAAATTTAGATTTAAAGCTTTCGTGACTGCATTCTGGCATTTTCTAAACGATGAATGCGAACCGCGTGAATACGATTTCATGAATGTAGCGTGTTGTATTATATTCTTGGTTCTTTCGGTAAAGTCACGTAGAAGGGAAACAATAAAATAATAAAAATATAAAACAATAAAATTCTCACGACGTTTTCAAATTTTCTTGCTGTGGTTTTCACACCTGATGATGATTGCTTGTGTTGCAGTCGAAACCTCGTGAGAATTTTATTGTTTTATATTTTTTTTATTTTATTGTTTCCCTTCTACGTGACTTTACCTGAAAGAACCAAGAATATGTAAGCAGATCACTTGCCACGTATTTTTTCCTATTATCAACCATATTTAACAGGGTTTAATATGCAAAGAGAATAACAAAAGCTCTATGCCAAGTCACATCGGAAACCAGACTGACTGTTCAAATGTATTTGGAATTGTCGGAAGATGCGAAATTAATCCAGTTTCTGTGTCGTAAATCGATGATCCACATTCACGTCGTGAATGTGGATCATCGTGAATCGAACCGTAGTAAACCCGAGACCGCCTGTACTTATGCTGGCCAGTTTTAAATGAGCTGTTTAAGTTGTTCAAGGTAAGCTAGAGTTTGGTTCGAATGTATTCCTGGGCCTTTATTTTATTTACAATGGTTATTTTGAAGCTCTGCAGCAAGGAAATGTTAACATTCAAGATGTGATAGAATAGTCAAGCAACTAAGGTTTGGCATCTAACAATCATGCAATGTCCAATATAAATAGTGCACCTCGGTTATGAAGGAGTGGATGACACTGTAGCTGTCATTCAAAAGTTGTACATTTATATCTAAGTTTTTGAGCCAATCAATGGCACTGGCTGTAAGTTGATGGGTTGCTTCAGTGTCGCCAATCATTGATATTGATGGGCAGTGAATGACTGTGCTCCATTGTTTCGCTCCACATTCACAAACATTTGTTATGTCACCATGGCATCTGTGTAAACATTTAGACCACATTGTGATGAAGGCTGTCATCACAAGAGATCAAAGACAATGGTAATGTGGCTTGATGTAATGGTAATTTAGATAAATGAAATGCAATGTACCCTCTACCCCAGGTGCCTAACTACCTGCTCATTGGCACAAGCCCTGCACATGTGCCTGTGGCCCCTACCTGGTGGCCTCTCAAACAAAAGCCCCCTGCACTCCGCATAACGGTGATCCCTCTCCCTCCTCTTTGTCAGGTCACGATTGCTCAATCCGGCTGTGGAACCTGGAGAGCAAGACGTGTGTGCAGGAGATCACTGCGCACCGCAAGAAGTTTGACGAGGCAATCCACGACGTGGCCTTCCACCCATCAAAGGCCTTCATCGCCAGCGCCGGTGCTGATGCCCTGGCAAAGGTCTTCGTATAACGGCCGCACAAACGCGTGCCCCCGTCGCCCGCCCACCTCCTGCGGGCTCTCGGCTACGGCGCGAGGTGGGGGGCAGGGGAGCGGTGAGGTGCGTGCCCGGAGGCACCACCACTCTTCGCACTGCGTCCTGCCGCGAGCAGATGGTCCCAGAGTCCTCGGCCGCTCGCCGACACCAACCGGCGACGAGCCATGGGCTCGGACCGCGGGACGCACGTCTGCCAACGCCGGGGCTAAGTGGATTGACGCAGGCGCGGGACACTAACACAGGTCGCGCTTGCGTAAAGGAAACAAGCGAGATGGCTGGGGTGGTGTTGGGCTTTTTTTTTTACCCCCTGCGTTTCGTTTCTCCTGGGGGCATAATTATTTCCCACGGTCACTGTAACACTCGGATCCCCGCGCACAGGGCTGTCTTCAACCCAGAACCCCCTAACCCGCTGTCGACTGGTGGAGGGGTACTACGGTATAATAGGAATGTATGTTGGTGACTTGTATAGCTGAAAATGTATTCTCAATTTTATGCTGTTGCCGTATGTACGGAGGGTTCCTCTGCTGTGTTTTAAATACGCTTTGCTTGGCAGGATCTGACGAGGGGCGTGCGTGCGTGTTGTGTACTCGAGACTGTACAAAGGTAGCACTCCTGCTCGGGGGGATTGTGCCACGATGCACGCTAAGCGCCGGGGCTGCCTCGGCCTCCCTCCTACCCCCTCTCCTCCCCTTCCTCTCTCACATCCACCGTGTTGAAAGAGAGCTGCATGCCTCCCCCCACTACAGTTCCATATTACGCCGTGTCAACGTGCCCTTTTTATACGTAGCCGGCCAAACTTATCTGTGCCCTTCCCTGCCAAAATTTTAAAAAGGAACAGAACAGGAAAGGAAAGCAAAGCTCTCCCCAGGATACCAGGCCATAAGATGCACTGGGCCTGTTACTACTTTATTATATGCTCTGGTCAATACTCATCGCAGTGCAAAGACACCAGTTTTGCCAAAAATAACATGCTGGTTGCAACCCAAAATGTTAGCTATTCTGTCTGAGGAGTTGGTTATCGATTCATTTTTGTGTTCCAGATGGTGTGAGGAACATATGTTTGTGGTCACCCCGATAAGAATGTGTTGTTCAAGGCATTGCGTTATGGTAGGGCTGAGATTTGTTCATAGTAGACATGGGAAAATATTTTCTGTCCATTGGAGAAGCCCACATTTTAACCAACTGTTGGGTACCTATGAATAATTGGCACGCACACAGTAATTAAATGTTACACACGCACGAGATGCAGGTCCAATGTTACACGCTTGCGTGGGGAAATATCTATTATTTTAAACACAATATTGTTTTTAACTAAAAAGCAAAAACACAAAAAAAACATTATGCTTGATGTTACAACAATATACAACTTTAAAGTCTATCACTTCCCAAACAGGGATAATGCTCACCACCATCATTGGAGGTCTAGGGCCAGTGGAGAAAATTATATTTTCTTATGGCAAAGGGGATTTAATGCATAGACGACCCACTGTTGACATACCAGTGTTGTACCCATCATGCTCGGTGGCATTTACAGGGTGAGTCGACCTCCATCCGAGATGTAGACCCACGACCTGAATGTTAGTTCAACACTGCCATATTGCCACCCAGCTGTATACCCGACATGTGCTTCGTCTCGAGGTATATTTGAATGCCGTAGCACGTGAACTTAATATCTGTTTTTGACAACAACCACAGGCAGACTGTTGTCATATGAATTAATAGTTGGAATTGTAGGCAACAGTATTTAGCCATTAAAACGATACAATTTTAAAAGTAACAATGTACTTTTTTCAGTTTAGTGGTGTTTCCAGAAACTGCAGGTCAGTGGGTACAATGATGGGGACAGAAAGCAGTGGAGGACGACACCACCGTATTAGACGGGGCACCAACAGATGACGTAGCCAAAAGCCAGGGCAGGGTAGGGGTGGCACGTGCAGCAGCTTTAGGCTGCACCGTCAACACGGCACCGCTTTCCATTGCCATGAACACTGACAGATCATGATGTGTGCTGCCTGTGTGCGCATACACGGTCGCGTTACATGCGCATATGCAGCATGTGTTTAGAATAGACGAGAGTGTGTGCGTGTGTGCTTGCGAGTTCATGACAGGCACGCGTCGTCTGCTGAAGTGGTGCTTGTGTGCGTGTCTGCATAAAATGCGTGCGTGGCTGTTGTTTTTGAAGCCCAGGCAGGTTCCTATGCTGTCTGTCCTGCCTCTTGTGATGCAACGCTCGGCAGTTCGGGCGACACCGCGCACACTCTCTCGGGCCATCGGGGCGGTGGGGGGGGATCTTGTAAAATACAGCCGTGGCGGGGAATGACTCGTGAGGGGCGCAGCTCCACGCAGAGCGGGGTAGTAGTGGTGGTTGTGGTGGTGCAGCGTGTGCACGTAAGTCACACCCGTCACCATGTGATACTTGTACATTAACCTGTATTTACAAAATATCACACGTGCTTGTGAGTGGCTAGCCATCCATCCCAACACTATAGTAGCCTATTTTGTGTTATTTATTTGACAATGCATTTGTCAGGCCAGTCTCTCATGAGGCTGAGGTGTGTGCAGGCTTGGGGTGGTTGGGAGAGGGATTGTGATATTGGGCCGGTGGAGATTGCGCACACGAGAGTTGTGTTGGGGGGGGGAACTCGTCCAGGCGATTGCGTTGGCACGAACGCCCCCATATCCCCTCGTGCGCTGGAGGCTCGTGGTAGACGTACTGTCGTAGCGACGCTAGTGCTGCACCTGTTGGGAAGGAGCAGGGGTCCAAATTGGCGAGCAAATGCAGGCAGGAAACTGTGCAGTCTGTGGAACACGTGGACGCAACAGCTATTGTTTTTTAATGATTGATTTATCGAAATACACAGCGTTAATCATGCAGATTTGGGTGAACAGCATGTCACAGGTTCTGACTTAACACAGTCATGGTTCTATAAGGAGCAGTGAGGCGTGGGGCTGGTGGACGACAGGTGGGTGTGGTGGGACGAGGTGTGGGAATGGCGGTAGCATAGGATGAGCAGGTAAGCAGTGGGCATCTCTTACTGCCCTTCCTCCGTCTCCCCTCCCCTACCCACCCACGTGTTCCCTTGCCTCCTGAGACCCCTTCCTCATCAGCTTGCTTGTGTGCTGCATGGTTTATTGGAGAAAACGAATTCCTAGTCTTCCGCGTAGACTTGAAGCGGTTTGCAAATTCACTCCTTTGTTGGCCACCGGTACTCACACTCTCGAGCAGCACAGTATTGGCTCTCGGACGGCTGCATGCCACGCAAGCGTGCAAACGTTAATGCATTACAGGAAAAAAAGCATCTTGATTCAGAACGGTGTACAGTTGCTTATAGCTATTCATGTAAATTAGTGATGGTAACGCCCTTAATTTGCCCTTAATTATATACCACACAGAGTACAATTGCTTACCCTTGTGTTATTTTATAGCTCACAAACAGTTTGCCTTGTATAAAACTAGAAAAAAATTGTGTTCATAAAACTCTAATTATTGTAATAATGCTCTCTTTTCTGGAAGGGAAGTGATAGATTTTGCCAATAAAAAGCAGACCTTTACAGCGAGCTGGCTTCTCTTTAAACTCTTTGTGTGGCGTGGGTGGTCTTAGACATTGGTTGTTTTTTTTCTTAAAATGCAACAGATGTTTAGTGGTGGTTGCCTGTGACCCCATCGGTTTGGTGGATCGCCAAGGGATGTAGCTGGCAGGCAGGAAACATAATCCATTCAGAATGTACCTGCAGGAAAGAGATAGTCCAGCAAAATGGGTTTACAGGTAGGCTACTTGTGCCATGTGTTTGAGTTTTTCTAGGATCTAAATTTTCAACTACTGTATGTAAAAAAACATCCCAAACCAAATAATACATAAATCCTAAGGAGTGTTTTAATCCGTGAAGCAACGTTTACTTCAACCCGTCGACCTAATGAATAAATGTATCCAAGCAGCGTTTGTTTAAACAAAGCAAACCCTGGACCAATGTTTACTCTGAGCATCGGCAGGATGTGCATCTGGATGAGGACCTCCGCCACACTATGGGTTATGAGGTGTATTTGACATCAAGACGTTTATCCGTTTGGGTTGGTGAAGGTGTGGAGCGTAGAAGTGCTGTACAACAATGGATTTTCTGAGAACGTGAAATATTCAAAACCATGCTGCAAACAACGTAGCCCATCAGCAGGTGGTTGTAAGCTTCGTAAGGAATGTCACTGGTTAACTCCGTGTAACAGGCAGCTGCCATGAATACCACATTGTTGGAGATTGAATTTTCAGCAAATTATAAAATTAGAACATTTGCAATAAGCGAAGTTTGTAAAAGTATGATTCTTTTCAGCAATTCACAAAAAAGGAAGTCTCCAAATATCCAAAAAGCAAGATGTCTTGACCCTGTTAAAGTTTGCAGTACAAATGTTTCCATCACATAAAAATAAATCTTATCAAAATGCTGAACACGGAGCCATGTGCAGTCAGTAGAGAATCAGGGCCGGAGTGCAGGGCATCTGGACAGATTCGTCTCTTCAAACAAAAGTTCACAGTAAATGCCTAGCTGCCATGCTCCACGAAGGCCAAGCAAACGTAATTATAATTAACATGGTGGGGTGATTGTGGTCGGCTGTATCGCACTGAGATTGAAATGCCTGCCTTTGGGGTGTCAAGAGCTCCACAAGTTTTTGATGTTTTGTGTTCCTACTGTACAATTACAGTGTAAATGTGCGTTTCTATTTGTCTCCCAATATTATCCCAACTTGTCCTATCAGTATCATGACATGACTACATTTCCATGTTTTAATTATCACAGTTGGGGAGTGCATCTCTTTGTGTTAGCCCCCAGATATGGTGCCACAGAACCCTCCTGTAATTCTGGAGGTACTTATATTTGGCCTTGTATTCACATAGGGTACCACACATTTTTCATGCATTAAAAACTAAAATATTTGGTCCACATATCTGGCACATTGTAAATTCAGTGAGAAAGTAGATATGCTCTGCAGTCATGTGTAACTTGACTGAGATCACCAGCACATGATGATCTGGTTTGGTCACTGCCTGGATTGTCGCCCAGGATCTCGGCATTGCTGGCTCGCGCCTCAGTACCGTTTTTGTTTCCAAAGACACTTCCCTAAAGTGTTGCAGTTTTAGACAAGCCTCATGATTCAGTCACATAATTGCTTTATATTTTTTTAGTTCATCAGATGAGAGAATTGATTAAACGGTTCTGATTCATGGTGGTCTATGCCACTTTTCTCCCTAATTCTCAGCAGCAAATCCATATTGGTAGGATTTAATGGTATTGTCTTTTCCTGCCAAATAACATGGGGGGAAAGCCTTTCTGCCAAGATTAATTTGGGCCAACATGTCTACTTTGCGCAATAAGTCTTTTCCCTAACCCAGGCTGAGTTAAGATGTATTAGCGGATATGTCATGACCTCTAAGTCTGATTTCAGAATAGTTTCCGTGGAGTAGCAGTGTTTGCATCATCCCAAAGTCCCCTTCATGTATGATTCTGATTATCCTACTTACAGAACCTTGTTTGTAAAGCAGCACTGTGGCATTGGCCAACTTGCAATTGGAATATTTTAAGTTCATATTTTAGGCTGTCTACTTGGTACATCATCCCTTCAGGATCAGACGAACACCAGTGCGTAGGTCAAACCGGTTATGTGGAGTGACTCCAAACTACAGCGACATGCGCAACGTCCTCGACTCACTCACCAGCCGAGAAGAGCACAATCAAACCACCACTCACGGGGATGGCAAGACATGCCTCCTTGTAATTCAGCTGCACTTGCAGCTCTTATTCCAACCTTGCTAATCATAGATGTACCTGCGATGTGGTTTGTTTTATTAAATGCTTAGTTTTAACAGGATGTACACTACACACGTGTATTAAGGGAAACAACTTGTGTGATTAAGTGCTTAATGGACTGCTGAGAACCTGGCACCACTTATTTTTTTATTTCTGACCACGGATCACACCATTGAAGAGTGATGAACCAAGGAATCCTGGACAACCCTTTTCATCAAACCCGCTCTCAGCAGCTCTGAAATATGGTCAAACAACCCCCACGACCGACAAGGTGTGGGGTGACCTTCATCCAGCAATGTATTGAGAAAATGCTAAGTTATTAATATGTAATTGTCCACATGATTAGAAGTACATGCATTTGTTAATAGGTTTACAGTAGTGGGGAATGGACTGGACATTTTTAGGTGCCTGCATGAGTAGAATATGCAAAACCCTGCCATCTTATTGGCGAGAAACTCGAAATACCTTTTAATGTATTCAGATTTTGGGCTTGAAGACATAACGACTTTCCCATGGAGATTTGACTCCCTGCACATTAGGAGGGGAAGTGATGTACAATTACGTATCCTAACACGTTTTAACATTTACACACCATATGGTTTATCTAGCCGGTTCACCACCACTCCTGCTCCACAATATAAATCTACCGATCTCCACAATAGTGCCAGATCACAAATGTGTACAAAATTAAATACCAATAAAGTTTTACCATACCTAACCGTGTCTGCGAAATACTTTTACCTACATTCTCTGGAACCACCACCGCCTCAGATCGGGGAGGTGAAAACCACGCCAATCCACACATTCCAGAATACATGTGCCTCCTAAATACATGTGCCTCCTGAATACATGTGCCGACTGAATACATGTGCCTCCTGAATACATGAGCCGACTGAATACATGTGCCGACTGAATACATGTGCCGACTGAATACATGTGCCGACTGAATACATGTGCCGACTGAATACATGTGCCGACTGAATACATGTGCCGACTGAATACATGTGCCGACTGAATACATGTGCCTCCTGAATACATGAGCCGACTGAATACATGTGCCGACTGAATACATGAGCCGACTGAATACATGTGCCGACTGAATACATGTGCCGACTGAATACATGTGCCGACTGAATACATGTGCCGACTGAATACATGTGCCGACTGAATACATGAGCCGACTGAATACATGTGCCGACTGAATACATGAGCCCACTGAATACATGTGCCGACTGAATACATGTGCCGACTGAATACATGTGCCGACTGAATACATGTGCCGACTGAATAGATGTGCCTCCTGAATACATGAGCCGACTGAATACATGAGCCGACTGAATACATGAGCCGACTGAATACATGAGCCCACTGAATACATGAGCCGACTGAATACATGTGCCTCCTGAATACATGAGCCGACTGAATACATGTGCCGACTGAATACATGTGCCGACTGAATACATGTGCCGACTGAATACATGTGCCGACTGAATACATGTGCCGACTGAATACATGTGCCGACTGAATACATGTGCCGACTGAATACATGTGCCTCCTGAATACATGAGCCGACTGAATACATGTGCCGACTGAATACATGAGCCGACTGAATACATGTGCCGACTGAATACATGTGCCGACTGAATACATGTGCCGACTGAATACATGTGCCGACTGAATACATGTGCCGACTGAATACATGAGCCGACTGAATACATGAGCCGACTGAATACATGAGCCGACTGAATACATGAGCCCACTGAATACATGTGCCGACTGAATACATGTGCCGACTGAATACATGTGCCGACTGAATAGATGTGCCTCCTGAATACATGAGCCGACTGAATACATGAGCCGACTGAATACATGAGCCGACTGAATACATGAGCCGACTGAATACATGAGCCCACTGAATACACGAGCCCACTGAATACACGAGCCCACTGCATATTCACTCGGTTCTCTTCAATGCGGCCAGTTCGCAGCCCTCCTACCGAGCATGCCGCATGCCATTCGATCGCAAGAAATATTAAACGTGCAATTAGTTTAAATCGTTTAATTAGTTTCCAATTGTCTCGCAAACAGGACGACATTTTAATTGTAATGTGTTTTATAAATGCATTTTGACCCGGTCAATATATTCGAAAAATTGTATTGTGATTGAATTCGACACGTTATTCCTCCTACATGCTAACATTTGAGGTGACTTGTCACCGCGTCTCTTACACCTCGTGGGAGTCGTTCCGAGTTCCTGCTTCATGGCCGCGGTCATCTGGACACGGCGACGAACTTGTGGCTGCCAGCGACAATGGCACACGTGAGCAGGGGGTCACGCGCGCGAGCAGGGGGTCACGCGCGCGAGCAGGGGGTCACACACGTGACTAGTGTGCACTACAACTGCCGTGTTGTGTCACTTGCTGGCTGCCTGCTTCAAGCGCCTTGTGCCTCACAATCCCCGTGTTGTGGCCAATTTCTTTTCCAGCGTTGTGCCGACTCCATATCGACTGTGAACGGGTTTGTGAATCGTTACGTTTGGGGTTTGGCCAAACATCTTGAAGCCGCCGGCTCTTTTTAAAGCCTTGACGCTCGACCCAGGCTTTTTAGTGTAAATATTTGCCAGCGTTATTTGCGAGGATCTGTGGCGGCACAGTGATTAGCGGCATAAAGCCGGCAAATTGACTCCCTGCCACGGATGGCATCAGTGGCGGGGGGTGATGTGTTTACATGGCCTCACCCCCCCCCCCCTTCACCAACCTGCACTGCCCACCGTGGTGAAGTATGGTTAAACAACAAAACCCTTCCATAAGTAGTAGGCCTTCGCCCACAGTGGATTGACAAAGGTATACATTTACTGCTGTTTTATGATCCGAGGCGCAGGGGGGGAGGGGTGATGACAGCGGCGCGAACAAAAGCGGAGGACGGCAATGGAGGGGGACTGCTCCCAGCAGCAGCAGCAGGAGCTCCTGGTCAAGGCGCTGGCCCGGACCGTTGCGGGGGGACGGTCCTTGCTGGGTGGTGCTCAGGCGGAGAGTGGAGAGGGTAGGGATCTGTGTCTCGGGTCGCCGAGACACGAGACGCCGCGGTTCCTCATTTCCGCGTGGCCACGATGACCCATCCGGTCCCGTCACTCGCCCCCCCCCCCCTCGGCCTAGTGGCGCCGCCCGTGCTGCTCCCCGCTCTACAAGGCAGGGGTCTAGGCGAGTACGGCGGTTATCGGTCCTACAAAAAAACCCCAATAAATCACGGTCTACTTTGAACTATGAATTAACGTTAATTGTGCTTTTGCATGTGAAAGTGCATGAAGTATTTGGGCCCATGAGCGATTGTTTTTAGAGGAATATCCACAAATGGAATTTTACAAGACCAAACACGGACATGTGGTCTCGAGGCAGTTTCTGGCACAATTGAGGCGTCGTGGGTTTTAAAACAAAAATCTAAACTTGAATTATTTTACTGTCAGATTAATTCCACAGTGTTATTTTTTTTTAAAACTCAAATGAGTGCCTGATGCAATGTGTAAACATGACCACGAGGGAGGCGAAAGGCGGATGTTATTTATGTAGTTTATTGTAAATATTCGGTCACAGTCCTTGTGATCACTGTTACGTTGCAATTATGGCTTTATGTTTTGGTGATTTGGAAAACATTTTTTTGGCTTGGACATGTTTGTTTTGTTGTAGTACGGGAGTTAGACTGATGGCCTTAATCTAAGTTTTCTTGTGGTTGTTGTTTGACTTACATCCCACTGGGATTTTTTGCACGCAGCGTTGGTGTACGGTGCTTTTTTCAGGAATATTTTTGCTGGTTTTTTTCCATGGATTTTCTGTTTGCACAGTCACAGTCACTTTAAGATGTTTTTCTTGTTCGTGTTTTTGTTTTTTTGTTTGTTGTGGTTGCACCCGATTCAAGAGCCGAATGGCTCACAGGGCTATACCAAAATAAACTGAAACTGAAAAAACGTTCCAGCCTTGGGTGTTCGCAGAAAGCACTCGCCCCAAACAGTATTTTAAAGGCTGAACGTGGGGGGGAGCTTTGTGTTTTAATAAGAGACGGAGAGGGGGGCTTGGATGGCCCGGGGTTCATAATGGTCGTGTCAGAGACGCCGAGTTTCCGGGTTCAGGCCCAGGGTCCACTGATCAGCCGGTGGTCACAGTCCGGTCACGACTGCACAGACATTCCCAGAACCAAACATTCGTTTCGTTACCACCCTCTCTACATATGGACATGTACCAGCGAGTGTGAATAAGGGGGCTAGAGAAGTCACGCCATAACTAGGTGTTGGTACAGCACAATACGCTGGCACATTTCTTACAACCTCGGGGTGTGTTTAAGGACCTTACTTAAATCGGCCAGCCAGGTATTTGTGTTTGTTTTATTTGTAACCAAGTCAGAACGCATTAAGATTGGGTAAAACAAAACCGTGTACATTACGACTCAACGTGGTTTGGCCATGAGCCAGAAAAAAACATTGCTTATTAATAATGGGATGTATGTAGAACTTCTTTCACACCGTACGTAGCCAATCGGAGGTGATGGTTGTGATCCTGACGCAATGATACAATCTTCATCTAAAAGAACACTTGCCTCAACAGGACACCTGGTTGTTCCCAGCAGGTGAGTTGCAGGAGTTTGTGCTGCAGAAGATCACTTCTCTGGGTGGGATGATCCGAGAGTATGCACAGCTCATGTCCAGGTGAGCTCATTGGAAATTATACAGTACAAATATTGCTCGATAGAACACTTTACATGTGTGCATTTAAATATGGCGTTGGTTAATCTAGAAATCTATAACATTACATTTTCTGTGGATATTTTGTGATAATTGTACCAAAGCATGTTGGTGAGCAGCCGTGCTGACCTGGAGCAGCTGTGGAGGCTCCACTTGGGGTGAGTGCCGCCTCTTCAAGGCCCTTGTACCCACAGGGGGATCTCCGTGGGTCACCTGATGAAGTCTCAATCCCACAAAGCCCTTCACATGCTCATGGCTCTTGCTTCCGTGGGGCTCCCTCGCCTCTTCAGAGCTCCTCTTTCCCTCTGTGTTCTCCTCGACTCACTTGGGGTACTTCTTGCACATTCAGATATTTATGGGATTCCCTTTGGGCACATAATATTGTGAATTTATTCACTTAGCAAATCAACAGCTGAAAGTGACGAGCGATTGACAGCTGCTTTGCAAGATTGCAAGCTGTAATTCGGAGAATAAATAGGAGAGCAGTAGCTTCCAGAGTTTAGTCATAGGGTACAAAAGATGAGACCATATGCTTTGTCGAGCAGGCCAGTAAGAAAACATTTGCCAAGGGGCGGTAAAGATGGATAAAGATACTTCACAAGAGCACTGATCTTTGAGGTACAATTATAAGCAGCAAAGGAAGGCAACAGAGTGAAGATATAAAGGCAAGAGAGGTTGCATAATCAATAATACAGCTTTTGATTTGATTCTGCTGAGATGTTTTAACCCTTTGACACACCATCTCACATGTGGGAGCAGTAGAGAGCGAGGAGCTGTCACATGGAGTGGGGTCAGTGTCTCTACGACTATTTTTTAACCTCTTGGAAGAAGGACTGAGAAGGGCAACACTTCTTCTGATGGTGTACAATCTTTGTCTTTGTACAGGAAATCCGATGTGCGTGAAGCAGTGGAGGAACTCCTGCAGCTAGAGGTGGTAGCTCCACTCTGGTGACAAACCACATGGTTACACAGCACAGCACCCGCCTCATGTCTCACTGCTGTGGCACTGCCAGGAGCCTTACTTCTTAATGTGTTTTTATATTTCAGTTGGAGCCTGGTACAGAGCTTGAACCGTGATGTGAAAGTTGTGCTCCTGGATTTAGAGGAGGGAGGAGATTGTGCTCGCTGCTGCCCTGCCGAGTGGGGACCGAGAGCGGGTGTTTGAACTTTAATGTGGGGACGGGAAAGTGAGGGAGGAAGAACTGAAGTTAGGGAGTAGAGGGAGGAGCGAGGGAGGGAGAAGGGGAGGGAGGGGAAGGGGGGAAGCTTTACTTTAAAAAAAAATGCTAATGGGGTTTATGCCCTACAACTAAAGTATATTTGACTGAAATCCCAGTATTAAAATAGTTTTTGGTAGTTTGACAGCATTAAACTCTGAATTGTCTCGCGTAAATCTAATTTATCATTAGCAGTCTCTCGTTACTGATTATTCAACAAGAATGGAATAATCTTTGTAAAATCAAAGTTCTTGCTTCCTCAAATCTGCTGTTTTGGTGGCCTGAGCCAACAGCAGAAATTCCACTTTTCCATGACATGGCTGGTATAATATACATATAAAACCATTGCTGACATCCCACAAATTGGTATGTATTTCATCAATCCTGAAAGGGTCACGAGCTGAATCAGTACTCTACTGGTATTTCATTAAAGTCCTTATTCTGAGTCAAGTACTCTGACCGTAGCCCTATCTGGCTGAATACCACTACACTCGGGGTATATTGATTAATCTCCCTCGTAGTACAGTCAGTTTTCGCAATTGAAGGTCCAGATTTTATTCAATTGTTTTTTTTAAGTGATGATTGTAGCGGCCTCTAGTGGCTGAATGATTCACGCAAAACTATTACGGATGTGAAACATGTATTGTTACATGCAATAATGTGTGTTCTGCGAAGTACAATATATATGCATCGATTATTTGTGACATTCCTACTATATAATCTAGTGCGTCTTCTTGTGTAGTGTTTAGTTGTACTACATCTGCTTTCAGATGTGATTGCGAGTTGTACCACATGTTGTTTGGCATGATCTCCAACGTTTTGCTTCTCATGCTAAACATCAGGATGTGGAGCATGTTGAACTACATGCGGTACAGCCTGAAAACAAATCGAAGAATTAATAAACATACATACAGTTTACCTTGTCATACTGTAAGCAACGGTTACTGCACACGTTGTTGGTCCTAAGGCCAATTAGATAAACGTAGGTGACTCGCCTGTATGCGTCTCTCCTGTATTGTCAAGCGTTTGTTTTTTCCCTGCAACTGTGTGAGATACCATAGCCTCCCCCACTCTTTCTGCGCCTGATAGGAGGAGTGGAGCTCATTTCTGAAAGGCATGGATGAGCGCCTTGACATCGAGGTGACAGCACCAGGAGTGGCAGAGCCTGCAGTGCAGCTCCCGCTAGACCTGGAGCTCACGGATGCGCGCTGTGGACGGTGAGCCCGCTCGTGTGTGTGCATGTACGAGTGGTGGTTGCTTCTGCCCCCACCGAAGATGAACATCAATGGAGGGATGCAGGCAAGGTTGATGAGTCAGATACCTTCTATGACCTCCTGTCACAGGTGCTAGTTAAAGTGGCCCCTCCGGATAGTCATACTGTTCCATAACTCGAATGCCTGAGTGGGTCAATGGCGCTGTCACCTGGGCTGGAGTGATTGGACGGCATGGGCCAGATCAGCTCAATAACAACGGTCGGAGGTTGCTCAACTTCTGCGCGGCCCATGGGCTTGTAATTATCAACACGCTTTTCCGGCATCGGCGCATCCACAGAACATCATGAATGCACGCCGGGTCCAAGCAAGAAAATCTGTTGGACTATATAGTGATGGAACAGCGGATCTGGCCCCATGCCCTTGACACCAGGACCTACCGTGGAGCTGATCTGCCCACTGACCATCGGCTTTTCATCTGTAAGATGTGCCTGCCATTCTTCCACTCTGGTGGTGGGTGTCCATCTAGGACCCTATTCAAACCCACACTGGCCTAGTCTCAACTAGCTAATGAAAGTTGCGAGAATTTCATCATCGCTTGCAGCTGGGGTTAGCATTGTACCCCCCTCCTCCTGATACCGGGGGGAAATAGGTGAAGTTTAGGATTGTGGCTCATGCAGTTGCAATGGCTGCTTTGGGTACTTGGTCCAAACCTGCCCAGAGACCCTGGCTGATGGAAGAGGTGTTCCAGATAGCTGAGAAAAAGCGACAGGCCCACTTCCACTGCCTATAGCATCTCACATCTGGGAATGAGGAGGCTTACTATAGCCTTCGCTCGGAGGTTCGGAGAGCCGTGCGGCGCAGCAAGGACGAGTGGTGGTCATGGGTTGCTGAGGAGATGTAGTCTGCCTTAGTAGCTCGCGATCACATTCTTTAATTCCATAAGAAAGTAACTTGCAGCACCACACCTATCACTATCCTCAGTGGAAAAAAGGTGATCTGATTTCCGACCTCAGGAACAAGTTTGCAGATTTGCTGTGCATTTACACTGGCCTTCCTACAATCCATTCTGGGTTTAACCAGGCTGTATTGTGTGAGGAGCCCACAAATCCTCGAAAGATCTGGACACAGTTCAATCGGTGAGCTCCAGCAGGCAAGGCTGCGTTGGATGGGTTATTGTTGCCCACATGCCCATCCACCGCATGCCCAAGCAGCTTTTGTTCAGCTGGATAGAGGGGGCTAAATGGGCACGGCACGAGCTAAAGAAGAGATGGAAGCATGTGGTACGAGAGCATATGGAGCTGAGTGGACTTGCCAATAACTGGTCCCAGCGGTGTCAAGATCGACCTCTGTAGAGGAGGCTCATGAAGGACAGTTGGATGCAGATGCCCTCCATCAACATCGGAGGGCAGAAGAGTGACGCTCGCAACAACGAGCAGAGTGCAGGCCGGTTAAAACACAAGTTGGCACAGTAGAGGGCACAGGTGGTGCATCGGCCATTCATCTCAGTCACTCCACCCATGGCACCTGGGTTTATTCCGTGACCTGCCAGTGGGCGTTCGACACTTCACGTGGCCTTAGAGTGCACATAGCCTGGCACAAGTGCCATGGTGATGTCACCGCCACTTAGAGGAGAATGGCGGTTGTTGTTGCACGAGTATGGGGAGTGTTCATATAATTGTTAGCATCCTGTACTACAAACTCGACGATCTGTATTCGGTTATCGGCCACGGCCACGGCCACGGCCAAAACCTGTGGAGAATGCCTGAACTGGTCCTGGCCTTTCCTAGGTTGACTCAGACTTAAATTACTACCCGGGCCTGGTTCTGACCACACCACCACATCATGCACTGTGCTCGCCGTAATAGGTGTTCACTAACAGCACTTTCCCCAGCAGTCTGTGTAGGCAATGAAGAGGATTATTTATTTTGTATGTGTGTTTTTGCCTTGTGGTTGTTTGCAGACAGGTGTCTCTCGCAGAGGTGCTGGGTGAGGACTCTTCACCCGTGCTGCTCGTGCTGCTTCGTCATCTCGCCTGACTGCCCTGACGCGATCATGTCGCCCGGCTCCTCACTCACCAGGTCTCCGCACCTAACACACAACACCTTATCAATATCCCTGAGCCCAATGCCAGGTAATTAGCTCAAACTCCATCCTTTCCTATTCTTTCGTATCATTTTCCATTCACTGCATGGATCCCTTCTCTTCAAGCCATCAGGCATTTTGCTTTTTCTCCCTTTTGGCCACATACCCAACATGATTCCGTGGAGAATGTCCTTCATGAAGCCTAAGTCACCGATTCTGACTTCTCGAGATAGTTATAATTCTTCTTCTTTCCTCTTGAAACTCCTCTATAGTTTCCTCATTTCTTTTTGCAATCAGTTGATTTACTCCATTCGGTACAATACCCACATACTGAGACTTTCCATTATTTTTGTGTCTTGTTAGGCCACATTTCTGCCGCATACAACACTGCAATTCTATACTAAGGTGTGAACGAGTCTCTTCTGTTACTTCACAAATCACACTGCTTGTAGCACAGGGCACAGTTCCTTCAAAATCAGAATCTGTATTTATGCTGGAGGATTCCGATGAGCTATAAAACTCTTTTTCACAGATGTGCTGTGGGGGCGGGTCAGAAAGTTACAACAACAAACACGAAAGGAGTGCAAAGTAGAGGAAAGGTGAGCAAATCACAAAAATATATTTTACCAGGTAAAACCCACTGAGCTATTAGCTTCTTTTTCAGAAGCTTCCTGGCCACAAATGATAGCTCAACAAAGTGGCTTATCACGTGGAAAGTTACCGCAGCAGCCAGATAATCTAAACGTGGAAAGTTACAGCAGCAGCCAGATAATCTAAACGTGGAAAGTTATAGCAGCAGTCAGATAATCTAAACGTGGAAAGTTACAGCAGCAGCCAGATAATCTAAACGTGGAAAGTTATAGCAGCAGCCAGATAATCTAAACGCGTGATTTTGAACGTGGAGGGAAAAACCAAGAGGACCCGGAGAAAGAAATCTGCGCGACCACGGGGAGAGAGACACGCAAACTCCCAATATACAGCAGCAGCAGCAGGCGTCAAGGTTGGGATCAAAGCCACGACCTCCTGCGTACCAGGCGAGGGAGTTGACATCTTCTAGCCACCGTGATGATGATGAGGGAGAGAGACGCAAACTCCAAATATACAGCAGCAGCAGCAGGCGTCAAGGTTGGGATCAAACCCACGACCTCCTACGTACCTGGCGAGGGAGTTGACATCTTCTAGCCACCGTGATGATGATGAGAGAGAGACACGCAAACTCCAAATATACAGCAGCAGCAGCAGGCGTCAAGGTTGGGATCAAAGCCACGACCTCCTGTAGACCAGGCAAGGAAGTTGACATCTTCTAGCCACCGTGATGATGATGAGAGATAGACGCAAACTCCAAATATACAGCAGCAGCAGCAGGCGTCAAGGTTGGGATCAAAGCCACGACCTCCTGTAGACCAAGCGAGGGAGTTGACATCTTCTAGCCACCGTGATGATGATGAGAGAGAGACACGCAAACTCCAAATATACAGCAGCAGCAGCAGGTGTCAGGATTGGGATCAAAGCCACGACCTCCTGCGTACCAGGCGAGGGAGTTGACATCTTCTAGCCACCGTGATGATGATGAGGGAGAGAGACGCAAACTCCAAATATACAGCAGCAGCAGCAGGCGTCAAGGTTGGGATCAAACCCACGACCTCCTACGTACCTGGCGAGGGAGTTGACATCTTCTAGCCACCGTGATGATGATGAGAGAGAGACACGCAAACTCCAAATATACAGCAGCAGCAGCAGGCGTCAAGGTTGGGATCAAAGCCACGACCTCCTGTAGACCAGGCAAGGAAGTTGACATCTTCTAGCCACCGTGATGATGATGAGAGATAGACGCAAACTCCAAATATACAGCAGCAGCAGCAGGCGTCAAGGTTGGGATCAAAGCCACGACCTCCTGTAGACCAAGCGAGGGAGTTGACATCTTCTAGCCACCGTGATGATGATGAGAGAGAGACACGCAAACTCCAAATATACAGCAGCAGCAGCAGGTGTCAGGATTGGGATCAAAGCCACGACCTCCTGTAGACCAAGCGAGGGAGTTGACATCTTCTAGCCACCGTGATGATGATGAGAGAGAGACACGCAAACTCCAAATATACAGCAGCAGCAGCAGGTGTCAGGATTGGGATCAAAGCCACGACCTCCTGTAGACCAAGCGAGGGAGTTGACATCTTCTAGCCACCGTGATGATGATGAGAGAGAGACACGCAAACTCCAAATATACAGCAGCAGCAGCAGGTGTCAGGATTGGGATCAAAGCCACGACCTCCTGTAGACCAAGCGAGGGAGTTGACATCTTCTAGCCACCGTGATGATGATGAGAGAGAGACACGCAAACTCCAAATATACAGCAGCAGCAGCAGGTGTCAGGATTGGGATCAAAGCCACGACCTCCTGTAGACCAAGCGAGGGAGTTGACATCTTCTAGCCACCGTGATGATGATGAGAGAGAGACACGCAAACTCCAAATATACAGCAGCAGCAGCAGGTGTCAGGATTGGGATCAAAGCCACGACCTCCTGTAGACCAGGCGAGGAAGGTAACATCACGCCAGCGTGGCACCCCTTAAATAAAAAAAATAAAGCATACAAGTTGAAATTGCATAGGTACATCAAATCCCAAGCTTGGGAAAGGCAGTAAAACAACAGCAAAAACAGTCCCAGACCACACCAAAACAACACACAGTCCCTGAATAAAATTGTACATTAAACTGGAACTATTAATACATTCAGCGCTAACCTGCTTCAGAATATTCTTTGAAGGAATATTTATGATATTAAGGGAAGAAACCAGGTTGTTCAAATACGTTGGTGCTGCAACTGCAAAGGCTTTGTCACATATTCCTATTCTCGTTCTTGGGATAGTTATAAGTCAATTAGATGGACGTTTCAGGTTTATTGAGTTTGACAACAATGGGTTCATAAATTAGCTAAGTGTTGAGGGGTTCCCGACGACGACTCGGAGACGGCTTGAAGGTAAGGGCTTTCGCCAAAGGTTTATTATAGTATATTACAATAACACAAAGGGTGTGACAACTCCCAGGGGTTAGGGGTCCTACACTAAGTCCTGGTCCAGCCCGGCTAGCTCCGGTCTCTCTCCCTCGAGTCGGATGGGGGCACTAGCCAACCCCACCGACCGGGAAGAGCAGCACCTCCTACGGCTACCACCGGCTTCACTCCTGACTCTTCGTCGATCCCTCTCTACCCCTGGTTCCCTCTCCACCCTTCTCACTCTACCCGTTCCCACAGTGACCCCGCTTTCGTCACGGGGTCCCCCTTAAATACTAGAGGAGACATGACGTCATCGAGCCGCCCAGCGCGCAATTAGCATTTGATTGGCCGACTTAGCCAATCAAATGCTAATTTTTATGCTAATTCCTTTGTCAAGGCACCTTGTTTCCTCGCACACAGCTTAAAGGTCGCGTTCTGAGCGTGGCTGTGTTTCACTCCAGTGCTGTCCTCGAGACAGCCTGATCCCTTCCCCTGATGAAGGCCGCTTGTGTTGTGGCCGAAACGTCGTGATTTTTGTTTTATTTTTTACCTACGTGACTTTACCGAATAGAACCAAAGAGTATAATGCTTATTTAATTTGTTACAACTGTTGACGAAAAAAAACAACTGTACAGATAAGACAGATAGCACAATAGGGACCACACAGATGACATACAGTGCAAACAAAAATAAAAATCAATGATTCTTTAACCTAATTGTGACCCTGAATCAGTAAACATCACATTGTGATGGAAGTTAATCATATGCCTATTTATAACACAACATACCAATATATGCACCCTGGCTCACCACACTGCATTGTACCATACCATTTGCGTTGGTTCCTCAACACTGCAGCACACTGCATTGAGAAACACAGCACTGACGTAGAACTTGCTACATTTCCCTGCTGTGTTTCTTGATCTTACCAAGCTCTGTTCCTGTCTGCGTGTACTCAGCTGTCTGTCTTTCTCCATCTGCCTGTGCGTGCTGCCTGCCTGGCTGATTGCCTGTCTCTGGACCTTACTCCCGTGTGTAGGGAGACTTGGCTGCGCGGGTGGTGTTGGTGTCGTTCAGTAGCTGCAGCAGAGCTAAGGCCTGGTTGAACGAGACGGGAGCTACTTTTCCCATGCTGCTCGACCCCAACAGACGTGTGAGTAATGTACCACACTTCCCTGCAGCACCCAATCAAGCCCCGCTCCCTGCTGCAAATTAATATCACTGATTGCTGTGCTAAAACAATATTCCCTCCTGCAGGAAAAACATCACTCAGTGCATCACTTCGAGACTACCAAGACACTACTCCATGGATATTGTCATTTGAGGTCAACTAAGCCCGTGAACACCTCTGACCTGGATAAAATGGGGACCACTTCATGGGAAAGCAGTAGCAGTTGTCATATGGAGTGGCCCCTGCCACAAATGTAGATGAGCACGAATGAGCTCATTTAAGCAGGGACACACAATGATTTTTTGTTACAGTAGAAGCTGGATATAAGCACGTATATATAAGCAACAAAACTTTACATTTCATTGCCTGGGGGAAGGCAGAGGGCAACTTTGGAGCCAAGCATACTTCGGGTATAAGCACACCTAGGCTTCCTGCGAAGGGGTGTGGTTATTACCAAAATTCTGTTTCACAATTTTATTCCTGGTGCATTGTCGGTTGAGAAGGGCGACCCCGTTGACATGAGAATGAACCCTGAAAGGCTTTTCATAGAATATAAAAAAATCACTCTGTGCTATTGACGCTTGAACCACCCAGTCACCTTGCATTGACATTTTAAAGTGTATTATTTAAGATGAACTGTATGGAGAATAGTACAATAAACAAAGTATTGTTTGGAAACAGAAGCAAGTCATCGTTTATATACCCTGCCTGTGTGGTGGTCTTGTCATGACTCCTGCAGCTGTTTACAGTGCTGGGCCTGCGTGTCTCGGTGTCAAGGGTGTGGTCTGTGGCGACGCTAATGTACTACGCTGAGCAGATCGTGGCTGGGCGCAGTCTTCTCCAAACTGCAGAAGGCCCTCCGGAAGACCTGAATCAGGTTTTTGACAGCTATACACACTTGAGCACACATATACAGCCCAGCCAGAGTAGATAATTTTAGTCCACATGGGCAGCAGAGGAGCAGGAGCGTCCTTTTATATAAACACCTGCATGATCTTAAGTGACTGTAGCAGTGCCCTCATGTCCTGTTTCTCCCTTTCTGCATGTGTGCAAGCTCGGGGGCGATTTCCTGGTGGGGGAAAGTGGCCGGGTTCTGTGGAGCCGTCCCAGCCATAGTCCGATGGACCGCCCCGGGCTACAAGACATCCAGGAAGCGCTGCACGCTCGCTAACATCTATGCATTTCAGAGTGGCCAGCACCACACCCGGCCGCCTTTGTTTCCCCAGTGGCGATGTTTACACGCCGCATCAGGTACTTATTTAAGGCCGAGTTGATCTAGCGAAGGTCCAGGACCGGTTCATATTCAATTTTCGTTACCTATATTTTTTACTTTTCCATCCGACAGGAAACGAAGATTTGTACGTTTTGGCAGAATTAACTTTTTCAGGAACTATTGAGCCTTGCCTGGTAAAATCTAAATGTTTTAATAGTTTATAGAATGTCAAAAGTGGCCTTGGCTAGAGCTCATGTAGTTTTGATAGAAAATCACCCCTCGTACTGTCAAGGCAAACGTCGCCGTTTGCAGAGTTTCCATGAGAAGGTTGCACTGGCTAACTTGCTCTCTAAGAGCCCCCAAGTGAAATATTGAGAAGCCGAGTTTGTAATTAAAGAGCTTTATAAAGAGTAGCTTGCAAGTGTTGACTTTGCATCCCAATTCTACTGTTTACTCTGTGCATCTACGTGTATTTGTGGATGTGTGTGTGTAACTGTGTGTGTGTAACTGTGTATGTGGCCATGGGTCTGTGCGTGTCAGAGCCTCAATGTGTGCTGCGCTTTATGTATGTGTGTGTAACTGTGTGTGTGTATGTGTGTCATGGTATTGGGGGAGGGTAGTGTAGAGGTTAGCACGCTGCACTACAAACCCAGCAACACGAGTTTGATTTCGCTCACGGCCAACACCAGTGACGATTATCTGAACCTGACCTGGGCCTCCCCTAAGTCAACTCAGCCTCAAATGAGTATCTCCTGCGGAGTGTAAACTTCGTCACTCAGGGGATAAAGGCAGCTGGGCGTGGTGCTGGCCACCCACCCCCACGTGTACCGTGCTAGTCTTGATAGGTGCTCGCTCACGGCACTTGCCCCAATAGTCTGTTAAGACTATAGGGGGATCTTTGTTTCTGTGTCACAGTGTCTCTATTTGTCACTCTATGTTTCACATGTGTGTGTGTGGCCTTCCGTAGGTCGATTCACCCTTAAATGAGTACTTGGTGCGGTGTGTAAACATCAGCGCTGGAAAGACAAAGGCGGCTGGGCGTGGTGTTGACTACCCTTTTTCCTCCGTGTGCCGTGCCAGCCTTCATAGGTGCTTGCTAGCAGTGCTTGCCCCAACAACCTGTTCAGGATATACGGGGGGAACCTTTATCTTTGTGTGTGTATATGTGTGTCTGTGTGATTGTTCGTGTGTGTTCCACTGTTACCGGTAATGCAGTGGGGAGTGGGAGTACAGTGGTTCGCATGCTGTGCTACGAACCCGCCTACCAGGTGACCGGACGTGATACTGGCCACCCACTCCCCCTCGTGTACCATGCTAGTCTTCATAGGTGCTCGTTAACAGCACTTGCTCCTTCAGTCTGTTAATGCTGTACGGGGAGTCTTTGTCCACTGTGACCATTTTCGTGTTTTTGTGTATCTGTGTGTCTCACCGTGTGTCACCCTGTCCCTGTGTGTGCATGTCTGCGTGTGTGTCATGTTACACTACTCTTTGTGTACGTTTGTCGCAGTTTGCATCTGTCTCCATTTCTGCACACCACAATCCTTACTGTCTGGTTCAATCTCCTGTCATGATGCACAACACGAGCTAGGTATAGCCATGAACCTGGAATTGACTTCACCTAGGTCAACTCAGCCGAAAATACAAGTTCTGTACATCACCACTGAGAATTAACAAAGGCGGCCAATTTATACAAATGCCACTAATCTCCACCAACCCACCCCGCGCTCTCTTCTCTCTGTCTCGTCTGCCTCTCTCAGACATAGGCACTCCCACAACATTTGTAGCAAGCAACGCTCGATAGCACGCACATGTATGCACCATCACATAGCATTACTCATGTACACATGCACATTCATCCACAAAAGCGCACAGCAACCTTCTCTCTACCATAATTGCGACCATAATGACGGTATTGCCATAAAGCGACCTGATTGCAGGCGAGTGGCATCATCTTGATTCCTATAGGAGGTCGCATCAGGTAATGAGAGGCAGTGCTGGGTGCTTTTGGGACGTGTATGACCTTGGGAGTGGGTGATTGTGAGAATAATTAAATATTTCATAGTAGTGTAATGATGCCGACACACATTGCTACTTGGAGCCTTTTTATTAGACACAGCACCAACACTAGGCCCGGGCTTCTTTCTTGCTGCTTGAAGCTTGTACTCTCCCCAAATACCACCTCCTCTTGTACTCTCCCCTTTTATACCTTTCGAGCCACTCTCTTGAAGCTTTGCTCGCCCCACTCCTTTCGGCCAATCCTCGTCCACCAACAGTTGTCAACCGTCGCCTCAACCCTCGCTTCCTGCCTTTCACGTTTTAAACCTTTCCTCCAATCCTTTTGAACCTTGTCTTCTAACCAATCACTTCGGAGGCCTCTCTGCACTAATAGGAGGCCTTGGCCTACTTCATGACTATCCGTCTGCCTGTATGCTTACCTCAGGTGAGTGGTCTGTTGCCTCGGTCATTACACCACTGCCCTTTAAAAATAAAACGAGCCGTCCCGGCTAACACCAAGGAGGAATGGCCTACCTAACAAACCACGGGGAGCCAGGGGAATTTCACCCATTAGAACTTGATGACACAATTTCAGTTTTCCCTGTGTCCAACTTTGTGGCAATAAATAATACGTGAAAAATAACAATGTGTGGTGTGTGTCTTTGCCACGTGCATTTTGCATCTTCCACAATTAATAATAGAGCAACAATAAGATTTGGGAATGAGGTTCAGTAGTCTGCTGCTCCGTCCAGGACAGTATCAGCGCTGTCGTGCCCATCTTGCATGGGTCCTCGTTGCCGGACCGGCATTCTCTGGAGGGTCCCGCGGCGAGCCGTCCGGGATCACTATCAGTTCTGTGGGCGGGACAGGATCATGTACAGGTGATATGGGTGCTGCTGACGGCTGCAGCGGCTTGTCGGACACCCCAGGTGCATGGGTGCTGATAAAGATAAGGCTTTAGGCACGACGGGTGAACATACCAACGACGAGGTCCCGACTATAAGTATGCATTGCGGCCGCTTTACCTGGACTATTTTGACCGGGCCCTGCCATGCCTGATGCAACGTAGGAGAGGTACGTAATGGGACCTGCGGGCAATGTCGCCATGCCTTGTCGCCAACCGCCCAGGGAGGTGTGTGATCCCGTCACATTTTATTTCGCTCGTTAGCGGCCTGGGCTTTCGAGGTGTTTGCCAATGCCGCTGTCCGCACTTCGTGCAGGCGGTCAAGCATGACCTGTAAGAACGCCGGTCGATTTGACATGCCTGCGGGAGCCTTACCCAGCTGCGTTTCTATGGGAGGTGCAGGTTCCCTGTCGTACATGAGGTAGAAGGGAGAAAACCCCGTGGAGGCATGTGGGGCCAGCCTATATGCTGCCAAGACCCCCAGAATATAGAGATCCCAGTCTGTTTGTGTTGTATCTACAACTTGGCAGAGCATTGCTGCTAAGGTTTTGTTTAGCTCTTTGACCGTACCATGTGGTTGAGGGTAGTACGGGGAAGTGCGTACCTTTTGTGTGCCCAGTGCCTCGCATACCTCTCTTAGGAGTTGTAGCGAAAAATGTTGTTCCTGGTCGGTGAGGAGCTGCTCTGGAGGGCCTTTGTCCATCACATATCCGTGAAGGAATGCATCAGTAATTGATGCTCCTGTCTGGTTAGGCAGCGGCCAGGCCATCGGCTACCTTGTGAGATATTCAACCCCCACCAGGAGAAATGTATTCCCCCTTGGTGAGCATGGAAAAGACCTGAGAATATCGATAGCAACCAATTCATTGATTAGAGACAACAATGGGCTGTAAGGAAGGCTGTGACCTGTGTGTTGGTAGTTACTGGCACGCACACTCCGTGCAATCCGCGACTAAGTCATTACATCAACGGATATATGCGGCCAATAATAATCGTGTTGCAGGGTCAGTAGAGTCTTTCGGCATCTCAGGTGCAGCAGATTATTTCTGTGAACCTCTCACGTCAATCTGCCTCGCACAAATGTGGGTACCACCAGACATCGTCGGCGAGCGATCCCATCCCACCACGTCAACAACCCTTCGTGCAACACAAACTTAGACCGCATTTGGGAGGTTGGCGCGGATAGTTCTGTCTTTACCCGGCAACGCAAGGGAAGCGGGCTGGCATCGTTGGCCTGCAGCTGTCCCCATTCTGAATAAGTCAGACTCAAAGCATAGTCCCTGCATGGTTCTTTTGCTGGTAGCGCAGCGAGCTGAACTGCTGCTATTGTCACCGGCGTTTCTGGGACGGTAAGCTTATATCGGCCAGCACCTGATGTGCACACACACGGATTCTCTTGATGCAGCCTTGACAATGCGTTGGCATTTCTGTGTTTTAGGCCCTTACGATATATAATCTGATGTGAGTACTCCTGCAATTTCTCTAGGCAGCGCACCCGCTGGCCCGATGGCTGCTCTATGCGCAAGGAGTACTGTAGGGCGACGTAATCTGTGTGGACTGTTCATTTCGTGCTGTACAGGTAAGCTCTGTATATTTGTACAAAGTACACAATTTCCAATCATTATCGGCGAGTTACACAGTAACGCTGCTCTGCCGGCGATAGAACGTGACTACCATATGCAATGACCACTTCAACCCTGCCCTTCACTTGAGAGGGGACAGCCCCAATCCTCCGATCACTGGTGTCTGTGTCTGGGATGAAGGGCATGGAGAGGTCCGGGTATGCTCAGGGTGAAGCATCTGTGAGCCGATTGCGCAGCGTGACAAAGGCAGTTTCCACCTCTACCCCCCAGTGAAACTTGTGGTTTTTGGCTGTCAACGCGTGCAGGATCTTCGCGATTGTGGCAAAATTTTAAACGAACCATCGATAAGACATGAAGCTAAAAAAACTGCATACATTGCCCACGGATTTGGGGCAACATCCAACTCGCTCACCACGTGACCCAAATATCGCACCGGCATTTGCATAAAATTAGATTTAACTGTTTTAGTTTTAAGTTGGCTGGGCATACCCTGGACAACACCGTGCACAATCGCTGCAGCTGTTCATAGAACAAGCGACCGAAAACAATTACATCATATGTAGCCCCGCTAAAACCAGTTCCATTAGCCTTTGGAATGTGGCCGGAGCGGTTTGAAGACCCATCGGGAGGCAGTTAAATAGGCCTTGCGGTGTACGGAATACTGTTTTGAGCTTCGAGGCCTTGTCCAAGGGCAGTTACCAAAATCCTGAGAGTAAGTACAATGTGGAAAAATGTTGCCCCTGACAATGTGTTTAATGAGTCATCAATGTGCAGGAGTGGATATGCATCAGCCAATGGTAACCTTATTTAGACAGTGGATATCAACACAACTGTCGTCTGGCTTTTTAACAAGTACCACAGGAGCCCCCCAAGGGCTGGTGGATGCAAACATATCATCCACAGCCTGTTGCACATGTAGTTTCTCTACGGA